AGCATGCAGAAGCTTGATGCCCTTCACGTGCTTTGGTATTCAAGGTGCAGGAACATTGTGTTCACACATTAGTTCCAAGCATGGTCTATCTCATTCACTTCTCCATGGAGTGTCTTCCTGTCTGCTCTGCTGAATGTCCCTATCTTCATTGCATTTTGGATGCCATCACAGCAGTCAGACCACATTTCTGATGGAATTTATTGAGTCTTTCCTTCTTCAAAAGTCATCGATATTAAAACGAGGCTCTTTCCAGACCCAGATATTTCAGCAGCATGAGCCCCAAACCTATCTTGTAGCTCTCTGCTTCCCCCTGCAAGATCACCCCCTTCCCTTGGAGCTGCCTCCCCGCTGCTTTCCCTTTCTCATAACCAGCCATCCTTCACTGTGCTGTGTCTATAAAACACTCAGTGCACACGGCAGCCGAGGGGGAGGGACCAAGGGGCTGGTGGAAGCCACTCAGATTTCACATTTATTTAACAGCTGTGACTGTGCTTGTTTGATTTATCTTCACACATACGTTTGACAGATATGGTCTCATAAAAACTCCACAGAGTAAAAACTGCAGAAAGGCCTGCAGCCATACTGTGTCAGCATTCTGTCTGGCTCCAGCTCCAGAGCTAAGCATAGATCAAGCTCACGGCAGCTGGCAGCACCCCTCACTTGGAAAACTTCTGAGTTTGCAATGCAACTCTGAAACACAGAGTGCTTAAGTGTAGCTGGTCCTGAGTTTCCCAGGTGTCTGGGCAAAAAATGAAAAAGGTGATGATTTTCTCATACCTTAAAAAATCCTGCTGCATTTCACACAAATTGCTTTGTTCAAGTAAGTTTACATTTAAGTGGCAAATCTCATCCTATCCCCAAATCCACCAGGGTACAGCAGCATTCAGAATATCTTGAGAAAGCTGTAATTTTTATAGCCCTTCCAAAAACACCTCTCCCAAATTGCAGCAGTTAAAGAGTAAGCTTGCTTCACCCTTTCCTTATAAGCTTGCTCTATCTGTATTACTGCAACATTCCCTTAAAAAAATGAGGTCTTATTTAATGAGTCAGATTTATGCTGTTGTGGTTCTGACAAATACATTTTCACTGGAGTGGAATTGTAAAATTTGTGCACAAAGCAGCTACTATATAGTTTGGGATATAGGCTTCAGAAAAGCACAACCCACTTCAACATATGCATATTTCACAGTGTTTTTTTTAAAAGGGGAGCACACCTGAAACTCTAATTCCCAGCATCAAGAGAGGCAAAGTGAAATAGCTGTAAATAAAGTCCCTGGCGTTGCTCAGAGGCAGGACTCCAGCTGCCTTCGGGTGGCGTTTTATTACATTATTAAATAACAGCCCCCGCGCCTGGGAGCTGGCAGCCCGGTCTGGAGAAGGAGCTCAGAGCCGAGAGTGAAAGGCCCTGTGTTCCAACCTGCTGCTGTGGTGGCCACTTCATTTCTTTAGATGTTACTGACACGTATGAAATAACATTCTTATTGCTTGCCACGCAGAGATGAGGCAGATATTGCTCTGTTAACAAAAGCAAATGTGAAGGCCCCTGTTTCGGGCCCACAGTTATCTTGGCTGGTTAAAACCACTGGATAAGATTAGTGGGAGAAATTAACTGCTTCTCTGTGGGCAGATATTTGTGGTTCCCTCTCTCATCAGGGGTGATTTTTCGCAGCTATAGAAATGTCACCTTTTCTGGTTTAGGTAAATAACTAAGGACTATGCAACACAGGTTTGGAAAGTTTGTGTTTTCCCAATTATGGATAACCTTTTTTGGTTTTATGGCTATTTCCTGTACTCCTGATCCTCTTGGTGCCATGTTCACCCAGTTTTCATGGTCACACTGAGCAGGGTCACATCCCCACACACTCCATACATGCAGTTCAGTGCCTGGTAGAGAGTTATTTTTCAAAGGAAAGGACTTTCAGGCAGTGGTTCCCTCTCTCCTTTGGAACAGTTTTCCCCAGCTATGGAAATGCCATCTTTTCTGGTTTTAGCGAAAAAAGAAGCAATTTCAGACACGCTGCCTTCAAGACACACTTGCCAGCTCTCCTGTGTTCCAACAGCACTAGTCAAGGACCAGATACTACTGCTCATCATGGCCTGATGTTTTCTCTCCCCCTTAACTCTGTTGCTGGCAGATGAAAAATGTAATTCACCTTTGTTAGTAAGTTCAGGGCACCCAGCCCCAGGGCCAACCTCAGACTTCTTTCTGGAGTGTGAACCATTTGAAAAGAGATTACTTGTGGACGATGTGTTAATTACAGTGCCTGTTATTGTACACACTGTTACACAGAAGTGCCACACATCTTGGGCAGTGTCTGGGCTTGGACACTCAAACCTTATCATAGAACCATAGAATTGTTAAGGTTAGAAAAGATCTCTAAGATCATTGAGTTCAACCATTAACCCAGCACCAAATTGTTCACCATTAAACCATGGCCCCAGGTACCACATCCACAGGGTTTCTCAACACCTCCAGAGACAGTGACTCTGCCCCTTCCCCAGGCAGTCCATTCCAGGGCTAGACAACCCTTTCAGTAAAGAAAATTTTCCTCATACCCAATTTAAACCTCTCCTGGTGATTTCTCTTGTCCTGTTACTTGTTACCTGGGAGAGAAGACTGACCCCCACCTGGCTAAAGCCTCCTTTCTGGTAGTTGTAAAGAGTGATAAGGTCTTCTCTGAGCCTTCTTTTCTCTAGGCTAAATACCCCCAGGTTGCTCAGCTGCTCCTCATAAGGATTGTGCTCCAGACCCCTGTGACAAACCAACAGTGAAGGCCCAGGGTCTGACATGAGTCCTTTCAGAAACAGGCCAGCCTTGGCCAGAGGCAGGGCAAGACAAACTGCCTCAGAAAGCTTCAGGCAACATGGAAAGGCAGGTCCCTGGAGCAACAAAATGAAATATCCATATATGAGACTCAGCTATCTCAAGAAGGGGGACCATATATCCTGCATATAAATGCAGAAAACGAGGGCACCCTCACGCTGATGGCATAGCCACCAATATGCAACATTTCTATCCTTCTTTTCTATCGTGTATAGCTAGAGAGCCACAAGGAATGTACTGACAAGCAGTCAAGGAACTCAGCTGCTGGTTTGCTATGCAGGACTTGGGAGCTGGAGGACGAAAGTGATGCATGGAAATTAAGTTAATTTTAAACCGCAGGCAAGAGAAGAGACTTGCTAACAGTTACTTAAGAGAAGCTGCTGACTGTTTAAATACCATTCAGAAGATTAATGTCAGCCCACAGAACCACTGAAAAATTAGGGCTGAAAGGGACCTTGAAAGGTCAGACCAGTCCATTCCACTAACCCAAGCAGGATCACCTAAACCTTGGACATGCCTGACAGATGTTGCTTAACTTGATCTTAAAGCTCTCCACTCCCTAGGCAGTCTATTCTTTATTATCCCTGTCATTAGAAAGTTTTTCCTAACATCTAAATTGAGCCTTTCCTGCTGTGACTTAAGCCTTCTTTTTTCTTTTTTTCCCTCATCTCCTCCATCACAGACAAGGAGCAATGATTATGCCTTTTTTATGTGCTTAAAGACTTCAGTTCTCTCCTCCTTTGGGTTAGAGAATTTAAGTTCTTTCAGGTTTCCCTGGTAGGTAATGGCTTCTCCATTTCCGCTTGTTCTCCCTGCTCTCTGCTGGGCTGGATCCAATTATGCCACATCTCCCCTTAACTTATTTTCCATCACCTCAACACCATGACATAGCTGACTTGCATTCAGCTTTTGATCCTTTTCCTGAAGAATTGCTACTTAACCCATCACTCCCTCCTCCATACTCTGTACTCTCATATTGTTGCTCAAGTGTACAACCTTCCACTTCTCCTTATTCAACTGCCTCCTGTTTCTTCCAGACCATTTCCCTAATTTGCCCACAGTTTTAAACTCTAATCCTGCCCAACACTACATCTATAGTTTTATTTAATGTGTAAAATGAAAGCTTTTACGTTTATCCTTTATAACAAAACATAATAAAAAAATTAAGCCAAACTTAGCCAGATGGAGGGTGAAACCCCACTCATGGCCAACTTTAACCTGGACAAGAAGGTGCTGGCAGCAGTGCCCTGGGTGACGTTATTCAGGCAGGTTTGTACCAAGTGACCTCAGCAACTCCTCACAGGGCTTCCCCTCCAGATTCTCCACCATCCTTATGTGGAAGTGTTCAAGGCCAGGCGGGACAGGGCTTGGAGCAACCTGATCTAGTGGAAGGTGTCCCTGTCCATGGCAGAGGGCTGGAATGAGATGTTCTTTAAGGTCCCTTCCAACCCAAGCCATTCTGTGATTCTACTGGAGCGCGTTTCCCCAGCTGGCTTCAAACAGCAAACACCAAACTGCTCTGAGAGCCACACGAGGTTCCTGCAGTCAGGCCTCTCCCGCCTCTCCCCTCCACCTAAAACCTTTTTGTGTGGCTGTGTCTCTGTCCCAGCTGGCTCTGACCCACGCAGCCTCACCTTCCCCTCACCCTCAGCCATCCCACTCCGTCACCCAGGCCCTGTGTGCCAGCAGGACCTTCCCCCACTTGGGGAAGTGCCATGGGAAGGACAAGATTAAATAAAAATAAATGAGGATGGTAAAATCTGTGTTATTTTAGAGGTAAATTGTGGGAACTCAGAACAAGGGGAATATCTCCCTGTCTGCCCTAGGGCACCCTGACTCCCAAAAAAACATTAAGTTTGACTCTCATTCATAGAGAAGACCTCCTAAACCTCAAAGTAAACTAGAGACCACAAAAGTGTAAAATAGATTATAAATAGTGTAGAGAGTAGTTTAATATGTCACATGAGTGAGAAATTTAGGTTTTAAGATTTTTAACATATTGTAAATAAGTACAAGATAGAAGATACAGAGTGTTGTTTCAAGTCCCTTTCTTCTTCCTTCTTCTTCTTAGGTTTAAGTAGTATCTTGTAATTAAGTAAAAAAAAGTCCACATTATGAGTCTTTAAGAGTCAGTTATTAAGTTAGAAAGACAAATAATCTAAGTGTAACTTCTTAATTAAATATATTAGTTTTTAATTAAACTTAAAAAAACCTTACAACACAAATTTGTTGACCATTTTTGTACTGTTTTCACACATACAAAATCTAGACACAAACAGTATACTAAAGTCATAATAAAATAACAATAAAACAAAAACCTAAAGACCAAAAAAGTCCTGTACATCTACTTTCGCTAACAAAAAACTACTTCAAGAAGATTTCCCCCTACCAAAATAACCCTCAAGAAGTTACCCAACGTAAAACCCGCAAACTCACAGTAAATCGCTGTTATTTTTGAGGTAAATCTGTCACTTTTGAGGTAGCCCCGCTTTGCGGCCCGCGGCTGCCCCCTGGCGGACAGGAGTGTCGCGGCTGGGCCGCTGTCCCTCGGGCCCAGGGGACACAGGCTGTGCTGCCACTGTCCCGCGGCACCGCAACCGCCGTCCTTGGGAGGAAGGATGGGGACAGGGGCTATCCCAGGAGCATGCTAGAGCAGGGAAGGTCAGGCTGCCCCTTAGCACAAACTCCCCCCCCCCCACCTTTACCTGTGTGTTCTGCAAGTGAGGGCATTTCATTACCCCCGTCATGGTCACCAAGCAGGGCAAGGCAGTGAAACAAGCCCATGTGACCCCACAACAGATGTGCAAGAGACAGAACCAAGAACTACCTTTGCCCCCCAGGTGAACTCAAGTCTGCCTCAGTGTCATACGGATACCTCGTCTCCCTGCTGCTGCATTTTGGCTTTACGCATGACTCAAAGCAGGCTGATCTCAGCTCATTTCTGGCTCCCTAAACTGCACCACTCAGCATGCATATCGGAGCGCCTCATGCCCCTGGCCCCACACTGTGCCCATGGTGCCAGCAAGCGCACCTGTGGCGTGGCTGCCATTCCCTGCAGCCTGCAAGGAGCCCACCTGCCTGATAAGGATGCGCCTCCCAGCAGCACCAGCACATAGAGGGGGGGACCTGGGCAGGCAGGCTGCACCCCTTCTAATTGACTGAAGGAAGAGGAACACTTGAACTTGCCCCAAAAGGAAGCTCAAGCTCCAAGTTCCCCACATTCATTTACTTGCAGAGCTTGCCCAAACCTGCAAGGAGGCATGAGCTTGCAGACAGGCAGCTGGGAGGAAGCAGAATCAGGCCACTGCAAGTCAGCTGGAGGTATTGACCCTTCTGGCAGTTCAGATGCAGACTTTGGGCTCAGCTTAAACATGGCTTTCTTCCCTTCTCCTCTATCTAGAACTGGCCCTTCCCAGCCGTCATTTTCTTCAGCATGACTCATTCCAGCTACAAGTCCATTCAACACGGTCGATCCAGGCCCTGCAAAACTCACCAAGGCAAACTCCATCAGGCCATTCCATACAGGCAATTCCTGGGGATAAATAAACCTAGTATCCAATATCTCATTTTTTGTTTTAAACATACATCAAAATCTATGGAATATTGCAATAGTCCAGTTTATTCCAGGGCAAAGGCTTAAGGCCAAGGCAATGAGCAAGAATCTCTCAAAAACAACTCTCTGCCCTTCAGGTGAGGACAGCATTAAGAGCTACTTCTGTGAGATGCACAGAAAGCTCTGGTGCCAAAGCATGATAGTGCAAAGAAAAAAAATCAAAACAAGCTTCCTAATGCAAGTGGACAGAGCAGCTGTCACTGCCATTTTACATGCAGCAAAGCCATGAGCTTTAAGTGCTATGAGTAGTAAGGAAGGAGTGTATGCAAAATGCATGGTGATGTGATCACATAACTGAGAGCTCCACTTTCCAAGCCTCTCACAAATGAGGTTTTTTGGTTAAAAGTTTCCCTGTGATCAGTACATTGGATGAAGTCTGCTCAGCAATGAATGCAAAAAGTGCCACGGAACAATGACAGCTGCAGGTGAAAAGAAAGAAATGCTAGAAGCATGATAATACTTCAACATTTATTTTCACCAAGACACAAAAAGAATTACAACAGTTTTAAACCTCACAAAGCTTTAGAATACTTCACAGTACAGAAATGCTAACTGTGCTTCCTGCTTAGACTAACTAGCAGAGAGGCCTTTCATTCAGGCCTTTACATCAGTAGGTGCATAAAGCTGTTTGATTTATTTCAGGTACGTAAGAAGTGACAGGAGAAATGTATGGTAGAATCATTCCAGTTTGGTTCAAGACCAGGAAAATCTCCTGAGAGGGATGCTGTGCTGTTGACTGGAAGTCACATTCAACAGATATTGCTCACACCATGTACAGATGTCTGCAGTCAGCCAGTTTGCCATGGTCCCTGTGTAACAGCACAGGGGCTGTGCTAGGCCACGGGGCTCCAAAACAACAGGTACACTGGAGGGGCAGAGAAAAACAAAAGCAGGGAAGCTGACTCCGGTTTCTGTTAGAAGGCATGGTGCTCTTCCACCCTTCTCTCAGGCTGCTAAATGATTTAGCCAAATGCATAGGTTCAAAATCAGCATCACTTAGGAAGGCTATAAAGCACCAGAATAGCTGATAGCTTCTCTCCATTGACAGTGTATCAGCCAAAGGGCTAATGCATATGTGTGTCTGGTCCAGGGTTATGGCTGCATCCTCATGCAGTAGGATTTTTTTGCCATCCTGCAGTAGGACAGTAATGCAGTCTCTCAGGCCACTTCTGCAGCACTTGCATTGCAACACAGAACAAATGACTGCCTGCCCCATGCAGTTAACTTCAGTAATGAACACTACTCCTGATTTTTGGCAACTGAAGTACCAACCTTAGAATCAGAAACTACTGTGTCTTTATTCTGGCTACATTAAATAATGGTTTCACAGGAAGAAAAAAAAAGGTATGAATTTGCCCAGTAGAAAATTTAACTGTTTTGGAAAGAAGAGAACATAAATGTTTTCAGTCCTGTATATTTCACTTATATGCATGTTGTCTTTATCACCCAGAACTGCCAAAAACTCTTTTTGGAATAATTAATTTTCAGGAGACAAAAAGGAAAGGGTCTGTATGTACATGGAGGGACTTGGAAACCATTTGTGGCATCGCTATTCAGTCAGTTACACGTGAGCCACAATTAGGATATTTCATGTCTAGGTAGAAAGGGGCTACTCCTCGGTTGTAGTGGACCTGTGAGGGATAGAATGTGATGGGGTCTGGAAATTCTCATACTATGAAGCTATTGGAAGGAACCATCTACGTCTGGGCTAACATGGACACTTTTAAATCCATGTCATAAACCTGATAGTTAAAACAGAAAATGCATTTCAGAGCACCTACACTTTCTCTCTTCGGGTCATCTAAAATCCACAACACTTCCAGAGAACTGTGGACTAGTTAGACCAGTGGCTGAAACCAGCCATTCAACAGAACACTCAGCTGACCAGCCCACTATTACATACTGCTGTCTGCATGTTTGTAGCTGTGCATAAGTAACTGGTGACATCTTTCAAGGTAAAGATAGAACAACCCTGTCCCAGCTTACCCAAAATACTGCTGGTGCTCTATTTCATGTAGCAACTTGGAGCTCTTCTGTTCCTGAGTAGCTGGATCCTCCTCTCCCGACAGTCTCAAAAATCTTAGGAATTGAAGTGGGAGATGTACACATGTTCTGAAGGGCACGGACATCTAGAATCACAGCACAAGTCACCCGAGTTCTCAGGGAAACACATCCTCCTTATCAGGACAATTTGCATGCCATGCAATTGATTTATTGGAGCACTTAAAAGGTAGACATTAATGCAGTGAACTTTCTGACCCGTGTATAAATAGAGCCCAGTGTAATCCCAACCACTTTACACAGGATGAAAGAAAGAAGAACTAGAGTTGTTTTAGCTGAGTATGACAAGAGATATCCGTGTCACCCTGGCTACTTTTACACATCATACTATTCCCTCTTCTATTTTCTTAGAGACAAGCTAGAGGGTAGATTTGAGGTATCAATGAAATGAAGGAAAGCTTCTTACGACTAGGTGAGGAGGGGGGAAAGCAGAAAATGTAAAACTCCCATATGCTGTTTTAAAGACAAGACTTACCTTAATACAGCAGTCACAGCAGACAAACCTGAAAGACAAAAGTCTCCAGCATTATCATTTGAGTAAAGCTCAGCAGCTACCAGTATTGCAGCTACAGGGGACATTCCCAAGTCTGAATCCATGATTGTTGCATAATCACTTGATGGCAAAGTGAACAAGCTGAGAACTCCACTATTCAGTTTGCCAATTTTCCTATTTTTGGTAGCTTAAATAATCTGAAATGTATCAACATCCATAGCTTCAAGGCTTTATCTGCAAATGCTCATTACACTTCACCCAGCACTACCACCAGACAGTTGCTCAATTTCCAGTGGTTGTTTACTTGCTGCTTATAATCAATTCAGTGCTTCACAACTGCTTCAAATGGGTTTAAGTGAGCCTTAATGAGCCTGAAGTTCCTTCTCTCACTCTCCCATGAGCAGAAAGCCTCTAACAAATAAGTGGATACAAGTAGGCTCAACTCCTTTCTCAGTCACAAGGTCTGGAGTCCTCAACAGAAGATGCTGGTATAGACCGTCTCTCAGAATTTGTTCAAGCCCTTGACTGAAGTTAGAGCAAATCCTTAGAGCAAAACACAGAGGGTGATCTCAGAGAAACTAATTTAATACTAGCACAGGAAATTTGGCTATTGCTGACTTAACACTAAGAGTTAAAACTGAGATACTATTTCAGAGACAAGATTTTCCACCTCCTCCCCAGCTGTAGACACTTCAGCCTGGCTTGTGCAGTAAGGCAAAGCTGCAGGGCTCAGCAACCTGCTCCTAACCCAGCAATACAACTGATGAATACTGAGAATTCTCAGCAGTGTTCTTTCACTTTTTCTCCCTCCTCATTCAGTCCTTTTGTACCAGCTCACCTGCTGCAGAGGTAACATTTGTAAGGCCATTTAAGAAACATCTGCTTATGGCAGCTGAAACAGATCTGTGGAAAGGAAAGTTATTTGTGAATGCAAATGGGAAACATCTTTGTACCAAGAATATCCACTGCCTGCCAAAAAGCAAGCATGTAAACAAACCTTCTAAAGGCTTTAGATTCATATACAATAACAGAGGTCCAATAAAGGATAGCAAAGACACAGGAATTAAAAGCTAAAAAGGCAAAAAAAATCTTACTTGTAGGTCAGTGTTTTTATAATGCAAAGGTTTGGGGCAGCTGCCAGACAACAGGAGTTCAAAGAAAGGCTCTTGAGCAAACAATAGCTGTATTGTGCAAGAGTGTAACAGTAGCCAGTTAAGAGAGAAGGAAGAAGAGAGACATTCTTTGAGGTAGACTGCAGCAATCCCAAAGAGATTAAATCAGGGCAAATTTGAATTCAATCCTGAAGCAAAAAATGAGTCATAAGGAAACTGATGAGTCGCTTGAACTTTATAAAAAAGAGCACATTCATACACAGCTGGCAGTCAGAAGTGATATTATCTTGAGAAGTAGAACTTGAGAAACCTAAAAAAACAGCAGTGGATAAGAAAGCCATTTTAGATTAGTCATAGAGCAGGCAAATTAAAGCAGGGTCAGTAAGGTGAGAAGAAAACAAGGATTCAGTCTCAGGAGCATCAGATAGCTTGTGGAAGTAGCATGGCTCTGCTAGTAGAACCTTTGACTCTGTCCATACTGCTAAATAAATGAGGGCAAAAAAGTGACCCAAAAGCCAAGAAGCACAGACTTCCTCACATCTGTGTTGCAAAGGGCCTGTACTCAGGACATCTGCTCTGGAGGAGTGGTTGCCACACTCCCTCTAAAGGAGACTCGGGGATAAGGCAGAAGTTGATACATGTGAACAATCAACAGTCCTGAGCTACACAGCTCCTTCCCTGTCCCCCTCATTTCCCCCACCTTCATGTCCACTTGGTAAGGTGGTTTGAGTCAGCACAACTCTGGTGTGGGAGCCTGAATGAAGTGCCTTTGTTTCACTGTTTAGGAGTACCAAATTCCAGCTATTTACTGTGGGATTTCAGAGCTGACCAATGGCCATGGCAGTCAGCTCTCCTTGCATGGAAATCAGAAGCAAGGCTCCTTGCAAGAAGCAACAAGCAAAGGCTGGGCTACTTTCTAGGCAATTTACACACCTTAAGCTAGATTAGAAGCCATCACTGCACAAAAAACACTGAAAAGCTTTTCCAGCCTAGGGCCAAACTCAGATCAGCTGTTATGAACAGGATAAACTGAGGCAGAGGGTGGATCTGCAGTTCAGCACAGAGGGCCATGAAAACAGCCAGCTTTTGAAAAGGCAAGGGCAGCACAAAGAGAAGGAGGAGAAACATACCTCTGGTCTTAGAAAGACACCATCACTACCTCCTTGGAAGAGGCCTTGCACTTCAAGCACCATCATTGCATATCTAGTTGCAATCAGCTCAGCAATGGTTGGTGATGGACACTTGGTAGGAAAGGGACAGTCCTATTGAAAGGCAGAAGTCAAACATCAGATAAAGTTGAAGAAAGCAGTTCCCTTTGGGGAGGTTATCTCAAAATCGGGTCCCAAAGGATCAGGAGGATTTTTGTCCAAAACCTCAATTTGCTTGTGATGGAGAGTATCAGGTGACTCTGACAACACCAGCAGAGAAACTACTACAAACATGTGAATGGTTGCTACAGTTTTCAAGCAGATTCCTTTGAGACATTTTACCCTTTGGAATAGGCCACAGAACAGATGCCACCCTGGCCTCTCCTGGATACAAAATTCCTTTCCACAGCACAACTCTCTCTTGCCTTTCTCATTCCCAAGACCTATTGGCCCCATACAAATGGAAGCTGTGGTCTCATGGTCACCCAGGAGAGACAGCAGTGCTTTAATCCCCAACACACCTGCATCCCCCACCACGCTGCTGAACAAAGAGGCATCAGAGAGGTCAGAGACTTGCCAAGGTGGGGCAAGGAGGAATGCAGAAGGAAAGAAAGAGACAAGAGCACAACACACCTTGTCAGGTGTGGCCATAATTCATTCTACATATATTATACATTTAAAAATCACTAATGCTGTGCTATCCACATTTTGTTAGCTACTTATTGTCCCTTACTGCAGCTTAAAAGATACTTGTGAGCATATCAGAATCCAGAGAAAGGGAATGGACATGAAGAAAGCAGGATAGTTCTACTGTCAATTACAGTCTGCTTGAGGAAGCCTTGATGGACACTTTTAAGTAATGTAATGGTATTTCCCTCTTCTTTTATGAGGAACAACTTTATTTCATGTCATTAAAAGAGGGAAGCCACCACAAGGACACTACAGCACCCAGTCTTCTCTTAAGATGTCTCCAAGGAGAGAATAACATACCAGCTTCAGAGGGGTGTACCATATATCCCAAGACAAAACCCACCAAGCATGCTTACTGCTTTCATGAGGATCAAGGTGCAAGTCATTACCAGATACATCAGACCAGGGTTTCTTGCTGACATGTTGGACTTACAAGTTTCTTGCTTTGAAGGCCTCTCTCTAAAGATTTGGACCTTCCTCTGTAAGGAGGCAGCTGCTGTTGGCCAGTGCTCAGGAAACACTTAGGTTTAATGTCTCCTGGTGTGGGTGCACTCATGGGGGGAGTGCAATTTGCAGCAAGACCTGGATAGGAAGAGAGAGTTCTAGGGTGCAGAAAACCACTGTCAGTTTCCAAGTATTCACCCTGAGGGCTGGACACTCAAAAGCACAACAATGCCTTCTGAAGGTAGCAAGGCTTACATCTCTCCCACTCCAACCCATCTGCTCAGATCACATAAAAAAGCAGAGGTTACAGTAATTATGCTTGTCAGTAGGCACTGATGAGGCTTCATTAGCACCATTTAGTTTAATAAAATGAAATGCTGCACTTTCTACTTGAATATTCAAACCACTCATTTAGCTTTTACTGCAAATTCCAAGTCAGGCCTTTGGGGATATGCAATCATTGTTTTGAAGCTGCAGGAGCTACACAAGCTTCAGTCAACTGCAGAGAAATTATTTTATACGGGCACCTCTCCAGACTCTTTATTTAGTATTGGAACTTCTGCAAAGTATCTCCAGGTGAATTAAAGAAGTGTGCATTGAGCCCAGCCCAAGGGTCTGGGAGCCCATCAGGCCACTGGCTGTACTATGTCACCCGGTTTAGATGTGCAGCCAGAAGAGCACTGACCTGTGCTGATGCAGGATGGCCTGGTGGAGGAAAGGCAGGTGCTGGCAGGCAGCTTGGGAGTGGTTTCCTGTTGACCAGAGGACAGGATGTTCATAATCTGCATGTAAGAGACACACCAAGGCCACTTCATCAGAAGTACTCCTGCCTAACAAAACCCAGGACACCCACGACTGATCAGAAATGTTCAAGGCTCAGCCAGAAGTGGAGCACAGAGAAAAAAAATCAGTGGGGTACATTTAGAATCTTTCTGTTTCTTCTTGGAATATAAAGTTCATTGCCCCTACACTCCATAGCTAGGAAATTCCAGCCAAGCTAGTAAAGTTTCCAATTCACCTCTTCTCTCTTGCCCAAGTCCAATAGTGGATACCAGTACTAAAGTTGCATCTGTTCAGGAGCCAACTTTGCATGATCATCCCCACACAACCCATGGAATACATTGGAACCATTTTCTTGGCTCCAGCTCACACATAGCAACTGGAGAACAGCTCAAGAGACTGTGACTAACCCAAATCATTAATTCAATTCAAACTCAATGCTTTATCTCAACAGCATTATTTCTACCTTGTCTAGAAAAGCAAAAACCAAATTTGATTATATTAGTCTCCATATGAAAATCCTTCTAGTTCAGCAGTAATGCATCAACCACAATGCTGAACATTCTTCTAAGTAGCTCAGACTGAGCAAATATAGCTAGCATTTTCTGCTTTTATAATTCATATCTGTTTTCCTCAGTTGGGCAACTGCATTTCATGCAAAAATATTTACAGAAAACAGATTCCTGCTTGTATGCCAGAGCATCTGTGCTAGACATGATGTGTTAGGGCTTAAGTTCTGTTCCACAGAATTTCGGAATATGCTCAGACTGAATCCCAGCACCAAGCAGTCAAGCTTTTCATGACAGAGCCAGGAGTTAAAGAACCCAAAGACTGTGTATTGGGGTTTCCTGAAGAACAGGGCTCCCAAAATAATTCAACAGACAGACAAGTAGGAATTCACCCATGAAGTTCCTTCCTCAAAATACATCATTAAGTTTTCCTTCCATGAGCTCACATACCACATGAAATCAAAATACATCAATACATCTAGCATCAAATGCCTCACTGTGAGGTAAGAGTGGAAATATTCTGGTCCACGTTGGCCAGAGTCCCATGCTATTATAACTTCTGCAGGATCTACTTTTAAGAGACCAGAGCAGATTTCAGTTCTGTAGAATCATAGAATATCCTGAGTTGGGGCCCACAAGGATCACCAAAGTTCAACACCTGCCCTTGCACAGGGCCACCCCAAGAGTCACACCATGGGCCTGAGAGCACTGTCCATATGCCTCTCAAGTTCTGTAGGCTGGGTGCTGTGACCACTTTGCTGACAAGACAGTTCCAGTGCCCAACCACCCTGCAGGTGAAAAACCTTTCCCTGATAACTAACTTAAACCTCTGCTGATTCAGCTTCGGGCCATTCCCTTGGATGCTGTCTCTGGTCAGAAATAAGAGATCAGTACCTATAGGTTGCAGTCATGCCACAAACAGAAGTGTTGGACGATGAAATGAGCTTCTGTAGAGGAAAGGACTTCAGTGAACCCAGTAGTACCACATTTGTTCATTTTTGAGACAATTTTTCCTACACCAGGATTTGTTCCTGCCCTTCCAGGCTATGTATATGCTTGCAGGTCTAGTTCCTGAAGTATGCATGCTTCTCCATAGCCCTTTCACCTAAAGCCTTACCTCAGCTCCTGCTCCCAGCTGCTGTGTTTTAGTGTTGGCAGTTTTAAACTCAGTACTGGCATCTTGGAGATGTAAGAAATTGTCGCTTGGAGAGTTCAAGGCAGTATTTGATGCCACAAGCGTTTCTGCAGGAGAGAGGGAGAACAAAAAACTCATACTCACAGACTAGATGAGACAGAGCTGGGACAAGAAAATGATACATTTGTATACCTACACATTGGAAATTAAGATTTAGCCTGGTGTTGTCCTGGTAGTTATGTAGTTTTTTATCCTTAAGTGATGGAAAAAATCTTGTAATTTCACTTAGTGGACAGACAAATGTGAACATTCATAAAAACAAGGGCAAGTTGAAATATCTTTTGAGTTTTATTAAACTACAAACAGATTTTTTAGAAATAACTATTCATATGCCACACCTGCTCTATTACACAAAACTTGTATTTCTCCCCACCCCTTACATTACAAATGTTATTGAAAAGATAAGTGGGTTTTCATTTCCAAGGCCATCTATTATTTTTAGCCAATGCCGACTTCACTTGCTTGCTTGCTAGGTCACTCTATAGCAGGTACCTTTGAGACTGCCCCTCTTTTCCTGTGCTGTTGCTGCTGCCCAAACCTTCAGTGGCTGTTTTATTTCCTCCATGAGCTGTTCATGACACCTGGGCTCCTGTGGCACACACTGTTTCAGCTGCACCTTCAACATCTGCAGGCAAAGCATAGCACCACAAAGAGCCATTGGACAGAGCAAGGAGACCAGTGGTGACAGAACAACTGCATCAGCAATGGCACTGTTTTACAAGTGCTTGTCACCCAAGGGGGTGCTGGACCCTGCACATGAGGCAGCCTTCAGCACTATGCATAGTAGAGTAACTTAGTTACTCTCAAATTTGAAATCAAGAACTCCAGGAGCTCTTTCAAGACCAAAAAATGTTGCAAATTAAAGAAAAAGTAGAGGAAGTAGGAAGATTAGTCACCTTTCTTCTACAAAGATGTCAACTCCCATTTTTCTAGTACCATGTTTGGCAGGAGGGTCTATTCAAAAGTTAAGTATGGTTAATATAACTCCCTTGCCAGTAGCTAAAGTATTAGCTTTATATTGCTTCAAAATGTCCTGTTACCTCCAGAATTACCTTGTTTTGCTATCATCAGATACAGCACCAGGTCACCTACCGGCTTTAGATGAGACTTGAGAGCAGCTACCTCAACTTTGGGGGCCTCATGCTTTTGCTTGATGGTCACCTGAAAGACCAGAAATGATGCTTAAGAAATAGTTCTTTCTCTGCTCCCTAAACACTCTGCACAGTGAATGATACAAGTCAGGATTCGGAAACAGGGGAGATGGGGAAGGCCCTAAAAAACACAACCAAAAAGCCCAAAACAAACAAAACACCCAAAACAAACAAAAAACCCACCTCAAAAAAAAAACCCAAAAAAACAACCAAACCAAAACAACAACAAAAACCAAAACAAACCACACCAAACAAACACAACCCCCCCACAAAGCAAACAACCAACCCCCCAAACAAAACAAGGAGTGGAAGTGTGGAATAATGATGTTTCCTTATATGGGGTTTTGGTAGGCAAAGATTTGCCTGTGGCAAACCAGAGGCAATCAGAAGTACTGCACAGCCCTTAAAGGCTTGCACAAGGAGCACAAAGCCTTCTAGCCCCATCTGCTCTGAGAAGCAGCTAGAAAACAATGCACTCAGATATTAATGTCAGGAGCGATCCCAACAAGCACCACGGTCACATCATATTCATCAGTAAAATCTCAGCGCCAGGGAGGAGAGCAATTGAACGGGTTAACAGGAACTGTAGCAGCAGGCAGAGTCCCAGAGACTGGCATACAGCCTGACATAAACTAGGAACAACAGCAAGATAGAATTGCAGGGCAGATATTCATGTGAAGCATCAAGCCCTGTGCTTGCTGCAAAGGGGAGAACTGACAAAAAAGTCAATTGCACATGCATGGCTTTAGCCGCCTTGTTCACTTATTCATATTTTGAGGCTGTGCCATTTACTTTCACTTGTGTGTACAACTTCAGAACACATGGGAGTGCAGGTAGGACAACACTACAACACTACAGCTCCCCACACTAGCTGTGCTTTCATACATTAGCAAATTAGACCACTGTTTGCTAGAGAAGCTTTAAAATAGCTTTGGAGATGGGGAAATCCTAGTTTAAGAGACTTCACAAAGACCTGAGTAGTAGCACTCTGCTTTCTTTCAGCATTTCTGACTGCTACTCTTCAAACATGTTTGTACTTCTCGTGGACCAAAGGAAGAGTTGCTAAAAAGAAAAAAGGGAAAGAAAACTAAAAGAAAAAAAGAAAATCAAGACCCAAATCATCCTGCCACCTTGAGTTACAGTCCTGTACTGCACAGTGCATTAATACATAGTACATTGCAAGGAATATAAGCTAGTTATGATGCACCATCTCTTTACCAATACTATTAATTTATATATCCATCAAGATACCATTTGCAAACATGACATAGCATTACCTGGAGGCTGGAGCCACTGTCAAGCCAAGCACGAGCTGGGATTTTATAGAGGTGCATGGCTTAGCTGAAACTTTTAAATCTACTACACTCTAGCAGCATCAACAAAGAGGGAAAAAAAGCTGCTGTCTAGTGCAGTATGCAAAGTTTTCACTTTTTGTAACACTGCTCTTGATTACAAGAAGAGTTGTGTTTCATCTTCTGCCAAGACGTCTGTTTGCAAAGCACACCAATGCCACAAGGCCTTGTGCCAATGTTTTAGAACTGCTCATCATTCCCAGCTCAAGCTGCAGCAAGCAAAGAGCATAACAAGCCTTTAGAGACACCCCAGACATTTTTTGTATCTGGTCATCTTCACTAACCAAGTGATGAAGTGCACTGCCCAGAGGTCTCTGCCTTAGGCTGAGCAGAGAACTGTCTCAAAAGTGCTTCTGCACTTGCACGCACACAAGAAGCACTGGAGAAAATAGGAAGATTGGTAATCTTTCTTCTACAAAGATGTCAACTCCCATTTTTCTAGTACCATGTTTGGCAGGAGGGTCTTTTCAAAAGTTAAGTATGGTTAATATCACCCCCTCCCTAATACAAACCGGTACTTAAAGTATTAGCATGTGGGAAAGCAAAGCAACAAGTAAAGGTCCCAGGCACAGCTCAGCTCAAGTGTCCAAGGTGGAAAGCACAAGGAACCAAGACTGTATTCCATGAACCTGTTGTGCACAGGACAGAGAAACTGCTACAGGGAAGCGAGTGGTTGACCCTGGAGGGAGAAGAGGTTTACTGTCCCGAGTCATGAAACTGTGGCTACTCCTGACTTAAAGTTACTGGCAATTAAGTACTTGGGTGGACAAACAGGGTGATCTAATGTTGAGCTGCAGCTCAGAGGGAGCCCCAGACACTTCTGGACTTTGATGTACCTTTGAAAAAGACACACCTTTGGAGAAGACGTCTCAACACATACTGCTCAGAAAGGAAGTAAAGCAGAAGTTTCCAAAGCTGTCTGCTGACTCCAGTCACTCACCTTCCGCAGGGTGTACCTCTTGTGCTGAATGTCATCCAAAAGCAGCTCATAGGGAGAGCGAATCTGTTCCTTTGGAGATGTGCAACACCGTGGTTGCTCAGCAACCTTGCGCAGCCTCACACCAGCCTGCAGCTCACAGATGACACTGGGCCCCAGAGATGCCTTGGAGAAACCAGCAAGGGCCAAGTCAGTAGCTGGCTAGAACTCACAGAGCAGCATCCCCTCCCTCCATGTAACAGGGCACCCTTAGCAGCTGAAGTCATTCAGAAACACAGAATTGTGTCCTTAACATGCCCTTCTACTCACTTCCAGATCAGAGTGCAGTACCAAAGCAGAGAATTGCTTTTATTTGCAGAAGTTAATTTACAACAAGGAAAATCATAGCTGGCTCACCAGGCCAGCTATTCCCAAAATTTGACATTAACATTAAGGATGTACTTCAGCAAAATACAGCTTTTGCTGCCAGGTGAATAAATAGACTCATTTTCTTTCTGCAAGTGCTCCAGGTGCCAGAGTGTTTTCCTATTACTGGTTCCTAGGAATCCCAAATCTCACCATTAAAATCCTCCAAATTTTTGGAAAACCAAGGGTTAAATTGTCCAGAAACAAAAGAGGAAAACAAGTAGACAAGGGATCTCATACTTAACAGCAGCATAGGTTAGCAGTCTCAGCCTAGAGACACAAGCTAAAAACCCTGACATCTGCTCATCCTGTTTCTGTACTAGTATCTGAGGATGTTCAGGCATGCAGTATAATCCAACAAAAGCTAAAGACACGGAAAAAAAAGAAGTAATCAACTCAATAGCATGTTTAGACAATATTGTAATGGAAGTGCTAAATCAACAGCTTATCTAGATCCCAGTGGCAAATTGAGTAAGAACAAGTCATTGTATTATAAACAGTGAAAGGGAAGCAAAACATTTCAGAAAACTGCCTCAGAACAAAGTATCTGTCTTAGGCTTCCCTGTGTTTTCTACTTACAGCATGAAGCATCTTCTCTCTACTTATCCCTTCAGATATCTTGGCATAATTACACAAGAGTCTTACGCAAGCTATGACTGATGGTTGCCCTCAAGAAGGCAGGTATTTTTGTTGGATTGTTTTAGCCTGGATTTGGTAGTCATACCACAACTCCAGAAAAGCAGAACTCTCAAAGAATGACCAAATACTTGCCATGCCTCCTAGGCTACATTTAATACTGTGTAGGAGAACACACAGAAGTGTCTGAGCAAACTCATCAGTACTAGCGACTTTTGAAATAGCTTACCCCAAGACATTTGCACTTTATAGAGTTGTATTTCACATGGTGGCTGAACTTGACAGAGAAACATGACCTGAAGAGAGACTTCTCTGCTGTAATACTGCCACATTAGTTCGGGGACAAGAATCACCTTCAGCTGACCCTTTCAGAGCAACTTACACACCCAAAACATTTTTCAGATGTTGGTGACATTATCATTCATGCTTTTATTTCCCTACTGACTGGATTACTGCAATTACTCTATTTTTGCCATCCCATGTATTGTCAAAAGCCACCTTAACTTTCCACAATCTATGAAGTGCAACACAAAATACTACAACACTCTAAACCCATTAGGTGATTGCTAAGACAGCTGTGTTTCTAACACATCTCACTGCATAGATTTCAAGGTGAACATCAACTTGGGACATGTAAGCTCTGCTGAAACTGTTCAACACTGCATGCTGTCAGGCTGTGGTCTGCATTTCAGAAGATCTGTTTTGTATCAGTCAGCATGAAAAAGTGTGGTCCATAGAACACATTACCTGCTTAGCACCACTCAAGACATCAGCTCTAAGTGTGGGACCCCAGAGAAGCTGGCATCCTGGTTATTTTAAATGCAAGAGATTGTCAGAGCAATGCAATCAGCTGGTGCTTAGGGACTTGGAAACTAGAGGCAGAGTATTTGCAACAGACATCCAGTTTTTGGAATTCATGCCTCCTGAAGGAGCAGAGGCCAAATACACTGGCCTTCAGGCCACACAGCAAAGCCCACGTATTTATTCATGTATTCCCTGCAGAAAAGAGCTACAGCAGTTGATGAGTTTGTGGTTTGAGATAGCTTGCCAGTTTATTTTAATAGATCACAAAATTGAGAATATGCCCAAACACACATTTCACAAACATTTTCATACGAATAGTTTGAGCACGCTTCAAAGTAAGTGCTATTTAGACAAAGGGAGTCAGTCCACAAGTCTCTCGGGGCTTGCTGTTTGTCTCCACAGACTCCAGACTACAGAGCATTTGTTTATGCTGGGCAGAGCTCCAGCCTGAAGAGCTATTTGTTTCTGATTGAGCCCTGACTGTGTAGAGCCTTGAAAAAAACACAGTAAGTTGCCCTTCCCTGCCCCAAACACACAGTCCAACATCTATGGAAGCACAGAAGACAAAGAAAGGCAGTGCATAGAAGGTAGGAGTGACACCTCCTCACCCTCCTTCACTCTGTTGTTTGAGCTGCTGGAGCTGCACAACCACAAAGATGGACAGTGCTACTGGCCTTCAGTCCCTGCCAGTCCTGACCAACAGAGATCCCACATAATAAGAGTGAACTAGTCTACCCCAGGATTATCAAGAATGGAAGAGTTTTCAGTCCAGCTATGAGAAAGGAACGGATTACTTTTGGCAGGTGTCAGTTAGTGCCAAGAGCTAGAATTTGGGGCTCATTTGTGGAAAGAAACAGCCTGCATAATTACTTGTGGGCATTTACTCCAAAGACTGCCTCCAACTTCATTTTTAGAAGTGGTTTCAGTTGGACCACAAAGACAGTCTTTGGGTAGAATAAAAGCCCATGTGAGATTGACATATGAAATAGTTTAACTTCAACTTCACTCCCCAGCTTGTTTTGCAAACAAGTCTTTAACTACTCAGGCTCCTGAACAACCTAAGTAATTCAATTTGTGCTCATGCTCTATTTTTCACAGAAGAATCAATGGAAAGCCTCAGAGAGCCAATGCTGACCAAAAAAACCCCAGCCCCCCATAATGAAGAAAAATCTCTTACATCTTGGGCTTTCTTCTTTTTCATGGGATTTTCCATCCAATATTCCATATCCATTTTTCTCAGTCTCTGAGAAAAGTAAGCATATGAGGTCATCACTCTACACTCCTCGGTGATTTCCTGTCTATCCAGCATAAATTACTACTGTTTATCTGAAAAGCCAAGAAGCTCCAAACACTTAAACTTTCAAATGCTACAATAAATAAAAATGGTCCAGAGACAACAGCTATTCACATAGTGAAAACAGAATTTCATCCAGGTGCTCCATTTCTAGTGCAATGAGAAGGTTACTTTAGAACTTGGTGAGTGTGTGAAGGTAGAGGGAATAGCAGCTAATGGGTAATCCTAAACATACCTCTTTGGAAGTCTGGATGAAGGTCACAAGCTCCTGTAGTTCCATATATTCAATAAACAGGTTCCTACAGGTCCTTTCATAATGGCTGGTAGCCTCAGAAGGCTTGGACAAGTGCTCCTCACAGACCTGAAAGAAGTGCATCTATTTAAAAAAGATCTTTAAATTTAAAAAAAAACCCAACATGGTAGGATGGAATAAAACAAGATTCTGTTTCCTCAATCCATGGTTAAAAATCATCTTCTTCACTTACATTGTTTTATTATTGCAGACACAGAAGAACAAAGAAGGAAGATATTCAATCTTTTACGTACAATAATGGAAGTAGGTGTGTAATTTGTTTATCTTGTTTTCCATAAAGTGTGCTTTGAAACAAGCACCTGAAAGGGGAAGCTTCCAGTTCAAAGAACAACCCACAGCAGATGGAGTCACTTGCCCTGTTCTTTTTCCCTGCCCTGATCAGACAGAGGGATAGGGATTTTCTCATACCTTTAAATTATGGCTGAGAGGAAAATATCTGTTTGATTTAAGACATTCAAATCCCAGCCTTTGCAAAAGCCAAATACTATGGAAAGGGAAGTTTTTTAATATCCACAGTGTTCTAGGTAATGAATTTGGAAACTGTGTACAGCAGGACTTTGTACACACAATTGTGGGAGAGCCATACTCAGTCTTCCTTCTTAATTCTTTTCCATGGGCACTTACAAACATCTTAAATAGTCTTGCCTTTTCCCTCTGATGGAAAAGCCAATGTTCCCTCTCTGTCCTCCAACAGGCCACCCAGCTTTCTCTCAGAAATAGTCTTGTCTCTTGGTCAACAGCACTGTTCCATCAACTCCCCTAAAGCTGCTATATTTACTAAGAGGGCAGAAGGAAACCTTGATAACATCCTGCAGGGCGACTGGTGGTTTTGTTGCCTTGTCATCCAGCTTCAACATGAGCCACAGCAGTTTCTCCAAAGGATCGCTCAGTTCTCGCTCCATTTGGCTGTTGATTCCCCAGTCCAGGGCTTCATAGATCACCCTTCCCAAGTACTCCAACAGCTACAGACAAAGACCAAGGAAGCAATACAGCACAAAGTGTTGTGGAGAACATCACAGCTCTTATTTTCCAGCCATGTGTGCATAGTCCTCTGCTCCTGAGGACTGAGCACATCTCTCAGGATGAGAAATATCCCCCCCGCCCCCAACATTTAAGCTGGTTTACAGTTTTTAAATGGCCTTAACTGGTACCTCTAAGATATCTGTCATTAGGACAACAAGAGTGTGGCCTATGCCACAGTAGACAGCATCTGTGCACATTGTTTCCTAGTCCCATTGTCTTACTTGAGTTCAGTCCAAGCACTTTTTTTTCCTGTTCCAGGTTGCAGAGGAGTCACTCTCATAGCAAATTCAAGCACCTTGATACTTTCCCAAGACACCTGCATCTCCTGAGCAGGTTTTCTACTACAACAGGATTGTACCTGCACACACAATGAAGGAAAAGACACAGGCTTACCTTGTCCTCTGACTGCTGAATGTTGCCAACATCTGAAAGGGAAAAACAAGGGTCAGGGGAGAAAGAAAGCTGTACAGGCATTGACAACCACCGTTTAGAACCCTTTTTAAGAGAGGGGAAGAGGAAGCATTGTTTTTAATAAGGTAACTAACTCCTCTGACTAAAGTCAGTCCTACGTGGGGAAAGTAGGCCTGTGTTTGGGGAGTCCTGGAAAACACCATAGGAGACTCATGTTATTGTGAACATTAGCCAAAGTAACAGCTACTGCATTTTGCTGTTTGCTAATTGATATCCAATCTCCAGGGGAGACACAGGATCTTTGTCTTTATTCTTCACTATCCACTCTAGTCCATGAAGAGTTAGCCTAGCACTGACCTCTGCTGCAGCCCAGCCCTACATAACACAGAGTTATTACCACTTGCTGGGCTACACAAAAAAAGGGAAAGTACCAAACATAAATCTGCTGCAAGAGTTACCATAACAAAGGAACCATACACTGGAAGATGAATAGAGCAGTACATATAACAAAGCCTCAGACTATTTATTTCAAATAACATTAAGTAGTAGAAGGCTTTCATCACAGCTATTCCCTAGAACCAAATGATTCAATAGAGCACTATTAGATAATTTAGTAGGTCATACATGTGTATTCACTCACCTACAGTCCTCTGAAATGAAGTACAGGCAGGAGAATAGCTTCATGACAACATACCCAGAAAAGAGAGGGGGAAAGAAAACCAAAACAGGCAGAGGAAATGAAATTTCCTCTACTTTGTCCTCACATTTCAGAACCCTTGGCATCTGCAGGTACCTATGCTCTTACCAGACTTGTGGTAGACCTTGAAGGAAGTAGTACCATCAGCATGGATAAAGATGCTCTCAGAACCCTTTATGAACACAGAATGGAGAGGTGGGCTGTGGGCCAGCTGCTCTATTTTCCTGCAACACTGAAAGCAGATAGCCCAGGCTTGCTCCTCACTTAAAGCATGTTCAAAACACCTCAGAAGCTCAGCTACAGAGACCTTTGTGATCCTCTGCTCACACCCTGGAGGCTCCATTCTTCCTTTCACCTCTAACCTTCACTTTTAGCCTAGGGAGCTTAAAACTTCCTTTTCCAGGCTGGGCAAGTTTTCACAGCAGCTCTTTATCAGTACTAGCTCTTGATTTGCTCTTATCTCTCTTACCTACAGGTGCAACCAATTATGCCAAATTTTGCTCTTTTTAAAGGCACATTACTTTATCTGTATTTGTAAGAGATTTCTTAAAAGACTAGAGTAAGTGTACAACAAAATGGAATCCAAAGAAGGTAAGAGTGTACAAAAATTGTGCTCCATTTAACTAGTTTCTAACAAATATATTAATTACACCAACGTTTGCAAGTAGAAAAAGAGTACATTCAACTTCAGGCAGGGAAGGAAAGAGGCAGGAAATGTCTTGTAGTTGAGGGAGAAGAACTCGGAACACCACAAAAATTATTTTGATAGGAAACTATTCCAATAGCACTAATAAATTACAGCAATCAACTCCTTGGGGCACCTGCAGTGGGCCCCAAGGAGCAAGTGGGCCCCTCTCACAGCAAATTCCAACAGCAGGGGCTGTGAGCATGGAGCGATTGGGATGGCCAGGAGGGTACCTGGGGCACAGGCAGCAAGGCCCTTCCTTGCCCAGAACGCCGATATCCCAGAATCACAGGATCAGTTGGGTGGGAAAAGATCTCTGAGATTATTGAGTCCTACCTGTGACAAACACCAGTGTCAGCTACACCCTGGCACTGAGCGCCACGTCCGCTCTTTCCTCAAACACCTCCGAGTACAGTGACCCCGTCACCTCCCTGGACAGTCCATTCAGTGTCTGATCACCCTTTCTGTGAATACACTTTTCATTATGTCCAACCTGAACCCTCCCCGGTGCATCTTCAGACTCTTATCGTCTGGTCTGGATATGAATTGCTCCAGCTGTGAAGCCGATGCCGCGGCTTTTTCAGCGCTTTGGGGGCTGTGTGTGACACGGGAGGGCACAGCTGAGGGCTGGGGACTGGGGTCATCCCTAGAACACCCCTGCACCGCCCCACTGCTGCTGCTGCGCTGGCTCACCACGGCCACAGCTCCCGAGGCACACAGTGGAGAACTGCGAGGTTAGAAAGTGTGAATAACACTCATTATTTATAGTTATTTCCCTTCTCGCTTATGGCATTTGGGAATGCAACGCGTCAGCGCCAGGCTCCGGGCATGGCACACCCCCGCGGGGTGACTTGGTCTGGCCCGAGACTCTCCCCGCCGGCCCACCCGGATGGTGCCGCCCACGCTGGGGCTCGCCGCGCGCAGCGGGAAGATGGCGGCGCCCAGGGCGGCGTGGGACGGGCGGGACGTGCCCTGGAACCGGCTGGACGTGCCCTGGCCCGCCAACAGCGCTACGGTGCCACTGGCGGTCCAGCACCCCGCAGGTCCCGGCGCGGTGCCGAGGGGTTGGGGGGGTGTTTGAAGCCGTTCCCGAGTGTTTACGGTGGGTGGTTGGTCGGTGGGAGCCGGAGGAGTGGCCGGAGCGGCGGCGGGCGCCGAGGCGGTGCTCGGTGCCGGTGCCCGGCGTTGAGGGGGTGCCCGTGTCTCGCCCACAGTGAGGTTGCTGTCGGCGCTGCGGCGGCGGTGCGACATCGCCGGGAAGCGGCTGTCGGGGCCGGGCCCGGTCGCCGAGGGCCGCGTGCTGCGCGCCGTGCTCTACGTGTACCACAGCAGGCTGCTCCGGCACCGGCCCTACCTGGCCCTGCGGCAGGTGAGCACCAACCCCGCCTGGGCGGCAGGGACCCGGCAGCTGGATACTCCCGGCCCCCAGAAAAAGCCTGTGGAGTAGCACTTGGTGCTCAGAGCATGGTCCCAAAAAAAAGTTTGGAAGCAGGTGCATTTTTGTTCTCTCACGGTTGAGCCCAGTGGGTTTCTTGGCCCTGTGCAGCAAGTGCAACTTCAGTTTTCCAGCCCTGGTCTCTGATACTCACGCTGAGACCCAAAATAGGTACAATTCTATACCTTTGCGTACATGAGTAATACAGGGATATAATTCTCAAATAATTGTAGTAATGGAAGGGAAGAATAATAATCCTGTCCTACTTATTAGATACTTTCTGTTTTAAGATGAAAAATGAAGACCTTGTCAGTTTTCCAGGAAAGGGGTTGTCAGCATCTTCAAAGAACTGTTTTGAATTGGAGCAGGAATGGTGCTTACCTTCTTGATTTGCTTATGTGTTTTCCTTCTTGACATCCAGTAGTAAAGGCCCTTGTATACAGCAGGGAAATCATGCAGCACCAATTAAACATGGCCTACTCCAGTCCTTCACTTAATTCTATATTTACAGTACAGTGATGAAGGAACGTTTTTCATCGTAGTGCAGATACACAAATGTCCCAGAACATGCCATCACACAAACCTGCAGTGTAGGCTGTTTAACTGATAAGGAGAAGGTGTCATTTAATGTAGTGACTGTTCTTAGACCAGGGCACAGAGTCTCTCAAAATACTAGTCAAAGGAGTTTGCTTTTCTGCTAGGTAGAGCAATGTTTGAAGCGCCTGTGGAAAATGAATCTGGTGGGCTGCCTGGAAACTCTGGTAGAACTGATTCCCAAGTAAGTGTCATGATACCATATCTTGTACTATCCATTAACTCAAATCTGCAGAGCTAAAGGAAGAGGATACTAGATCATAACCAATTCTTCATCCTTGTCTCAACACAGGAAAAATGCATCCAAAGCCCACGCAGAGTGCTTGGTTCCCAGCCAGCCTATGCTAGAAACTGTGGCTCTGAAGGTATTGGGAGGCTGCAAGCTCATACTACGTCTGCTGGATTGTTGCTGTAAAGCTTTTCTGTATCCTTTCTTCACCACAAGAACATGATCTTAGAGTTCACCAGTAGCACCTCATGAGACCAAAACGAGGTTTTGTATAGGTCCTGTATTGCTGATGGACTCAACTGTGCAATTCATATGTGCAACTTGAAGTTCCTTTGATAGCCAAAGACCTTCTTTTCAAATTATTATGTAGGGACCTCAAGCTGTTTGGCTAGCAGCTGTTCTGACCTTGAGCAATCCAAAATTTGGATACTCATCTCCCAGATTATTCCAGGATATTGCCTTGTGAATTACCTCTAGTTGGTGTGTTCAGCAAGTCTCATTAAGTGCTGTTTATTTTTTTAACCTTAACTGCTGTAATCTTCAGCTTGTCCGTTAAACACCTCTGCTCGAGGGAATTCATACTCCTGAATACTGTGGCTTCGGGGCTTCTGAGCCGGCTCTGGTTTGTGTGTTCAAAAGTCTGTCTTGTTTGTGTCTGTTTGATGTGCCTGTCAGGGAGAAGGGCTTGTAATTAGGCCTGGCTGCTAAGGGAGTTTTATTCAGTTGGGAGTAGGAGAAGGGAGGTCCCTCCATGCCTCTGGACTTGATTCTAGCACCTGCAGAGCTGTACAGGTGGAGAGAGACTTCTTACACGCTGTTATGGATGGCTTTGTCCTTAGATCTTAGCAAACTGTATGTAGCTTTAATGAAATCACAGTGTTAGTGTCAGCCTGCCACAAACACCAGGTATTCTGTGCAGTAAGGAGTAAGTCCTGCCTCACGGTGAAATGGAAAGGCTGGGTTAAACATGTTCTATTATACCACTGAGTTTTCTAGGGAAATTGGTGTTCTGGTCTCTCTCCGTCTGGGAGAATAACTGTTGTCTGTAGCTGAAGGAGTAACAACATTGTTAGAACAACTTTCAACTTTCTGTGGCACAAGAAATCTTCTAACTCCAGGAAACAAAAGAGCAGGCAATTGTATGGCGTCAGGGCTGAGTTGGTGCAGGGTGCTTTTGTGTGAAGACCTCATGGCACCTTGGGTGTGACCCAAGAACCTGATGGGTCCCAAGTGTGGCATTCAGCAAAACTCTACGGAAGCGGAGGGGCTTCTTAATCAGGAATTTACAAGTCACTCCTGTATTCTGGTCTGGAACAGTTCCTTGAAGCTCAGACTTAAGGAAAGCAGGGTGATGGAGTGTAAAAAGGTAAATTTGTACTGAGGGGAAATAGGGAAAAGGACAGTTGAGTTGAAGGTAGTTGTTCAGTGAGCATCATGTTTTGCTGGAGGAGACTCCATTCCTTTTTGTCCTCTGTCTACAGGATTCAGTACAGGTGTGTATTGCAGACCCTCGTGTCCTTGTACAGTGCCTTGTCGACAATGCTTCATCTGGTATCTGAGATCCAACAGACCCCTTATATCAAGGGGTTTACCTTCCCTTCTGATATCAGCGACTTCCTTGGGATTAACATATCTTCTGAGGCAAAGAAGCAAAAGGCTAAAATGCTTACAACAAAAAAATCTACCAGCTGGATGAAGAAGTTCTTCCCAGCAATGCCAGAGGCGGTATCAAAGGTTGGGAAAAAGAGAAAATATGAGACCTGTACAAGTGCCATGAAAGACCGTAGCATCCTGTGCCCCATGGACGTTGGAGAGACAGTTGTGGTGCCCACAGCCAGGAGAGGTAAAGCCTTGTGCCAGTGTAATGGTTTCTGACATCTCAGAGACTGTCTACAACTTCTGTCCAACAGGGCCAAACACTCTTCTACCCACAGTGTGGTTCTAGTACAAACCTGTCTTTGGAAGAAGAGAATGCTGCATGTGCCCTTGGCTTTATAAAGCTGTGGATAATGTCAGTATCATGATTTTTGGGGGATGTTTCTTTCAAACAGGATGCAGCCTGGAGAGAAGCAGGTAATGAATGCAGTATGTAGGTCCTGAAAATAGTTATTTGTACTTTCCTGCTTTTGCATAGCTAAGAAGCTATGGGCACTATCTGCTGCCTATACAAGAGTAGGTAAGGCTGTAAGGTACAGGATGCAAGTATCCTGCACTTGCTGGTTCTGAACTGTGCCCAAATCTTCTTTTGCATGCAGGGCTATGGCCAGTGACTGCAGCCATCTAGGTGCATGTGTGAACCTTTTATCCATTAAGTTCTCCTTTGCAGCCATATGTAAACCTCCACATGCTCTTTGTTCCTTGCCAGCTGCAATGCACGAGTGTAGTTCCCTTGAGTTTGCTTGGAAATGTTGAGTACAGGTGGGAGCCTGCTGAGAGCTCTGTGGCATCTCTGTGCAAAGAAATAAAACTATCAAAGTGTTGTAATGGGAACTCTCTTCTCTCTCTGTAGGGAAGCACCCAGGGTTTGATGTGAAGAGCTTGCTTAGGCCATCCAGACATCCAGCACAAGAGGTTTGTATGGTATTGTTAGGTTGGTGGTTTGTTTTTTTTTACACAGTAGGTTTTTTTATATTTTAAAGACTAATACTTAAAACATGATATCCCTAATTGAAAATGTCCCCTTTTCCTGCCTTATTTTTGCTTGTCTAACAACTCAGGTTAGTGTGGAAACTTTGCACAGAAAATCAATCACTACTTACTTCTGCTTAGGAATTTGGCCATTTGTTGGTTTGTCAAGTGAAATGACCAGAGACCAAGTCATTAGTAGACAGGAATACAAATTCTAAATATCTGCCTCTTCTTTTTGTATTCCACAAAACAAGACCGCACTTCCCTTTTCTACTTAGAAAATAAGGAATGTTCTCACAAAAATTCCTGTGTTCTGCTCCCTTCCAGAAAAAAGGATCAGACACATGATTTTTTTAAAACACTCATTCTGTTACTGTTTCTTTCAGGGTCTAAGCATTACATCAACACCTTTAAAAGCAAAGTCATCACCACTTTCGTCTGAGATAGCAAAATCACAGCACGCTGGATCTCTTGTACAGATGGTCCAAACAGCTGCATCATTTGGGGAACTGTCAGAGGCACTCAGAAAAGCTATTCTGTGGTGCAAAACCAACAAATTCAAATCAGGAGCTTATTTTCTGCGTAACAAGTTGTTGAAAAGCAACCGGCTACACCATGTGGAGGCTCAAGGATGCAGGTAGTTTTGTATGGGTGTGGGATTTCTGAGTCTAACACTTTGTATTTTAATATTATGTATTTTGCTATAGTATAGTGAAACACAGTGGTCTAAGCCATTCTTTTAAAACTCAGGATCACTATTTCAGGTTACTGGGTGCTCTCACCATGGGCATTCTGTTTAGTTTAATTCACTTGTGATTTTAAAAGGATTTAAAAGGCTAACAAATGTGTGGTACTTAGGAGGGAGGATGAAAATGCAACTTAAATCATCTGCATGTTTTATGGTAACAAATGTACGAGGCAAGGATTGTCTTTATTCAAACTACCTTGGCTACTATTGTACAAGGTGCTGTTCTGTTTCTGTGGTATGATAAGGAAAATGATAGAAATGAGTAACTATGAAATCTCTCCAAATTCTGAATGCAGTAACACTTCAGTAGCTGATAAAGTTCTGTTTTGTATACTTTGCTCCCTTAAGCTTGAAGAAAAAGCTGCGCTGTGTCAAATCATCTGTCCGTAAATACCTCCTGTATGGGTCACAACACACGCAGTGGCCAAGGCAGCACCTCAGGGCACAGCTCTGCCGAAGGAGGATCAGATCATCTGCACTCTGGAAGACAGCTCCAAAGACTGGTGGGCAAAAATCTCCTGAGCCTTTTGGGGTGTGTGAGAACAGTGCATCACTCATCCTCCCAGCTTACCAAGATGGGTCTCCAAGTCAGGAAGAACATTCCAGCATTGATACAGGACATGCCAGACTAAGCACAATGGGGACCCCAAAGCGGCTGCTGCTGGAAGAAGGCCCTGGCCCGGTGTGGAAAGAAGCTGCTGAGAACACAGATATTGATTCTATTTTTGCAGCAATAGGTGTCTGAATCTGGACTTGAAGGAGGAAAGGGGTCAAGTCATTCTAGTTTTTTGTTTAATTTTGTTTTTTTAAGTAAACCTCTCTCTGAACCCTAATGGTGTCTCAGTAACTCACATTGTGAATTCTGTTAAGAAAGTAACAACGATTTTGTTTTTGTAAACCAGCTTTTTTTAGTGGATGATTTATATATTTTTAAGGGTGTTCCAAATAACTGAATAGTCACCATCCTTTTACCTACCCTTGTCCAGGAACACTGACTTTGTTACCTTTACTCAGTGTCCCCTCTCTATTGCCTAACCACGTGTCAAATGCTGCTGTCAAATCCACAGTGCAGATAATTCCCATTCATGGAAGAAAGGCTGCAGCTGATCACTCACTGCTGCTTTGGACAAAAGACTTGCCAACACCATTCCAAGCCGTACACCCTTCCTTCTGTGCTGCTTGTAGAGGCGACAGCCTTGATGTGCAGTATTATTGCTGTTACAGCATTGGTTAGACTTGTTCTGAAATCAGGAGTTAACTGAACCTACCTCCCCAAGCTGTTCCAGAAGTAGGGAAAAGCACAGCTGTGGCCTGTATTACCCACCTGGTATGAACTGATCAATGTACATTTAGTTATGAAACATGGGCACAAACGTATGTTTTATTCAAAAAGCATGTACAGAGCAAAGAGCACAACTTTGATAGTAGTTTGAGTTTAAGGTCTTTATACAGATAACCAAGATACATTTTCAGGGTTTCCTATCACTGGAATACCCAGTGACAACTGAAACAATTTTAGAAAATCATGAACCATCAACCCTTGAGCCATCTGATCCAACACAGGCCTACCTGAAACAGACTCCTGCCACTGCAGGAACTTTTAGAGCTTTTTCTCATTTCATCAAATGGTATAAAAATACCTAAGTATACCACATACAATCATGTAACATTTCAGCTGCTTGAGTATTTCTCATAAAAGGCTGGGAGTGAGGGCAGACATCCCAGCAATGACCTCCATCCTAAAAAACCCTTCCAAACAGCACGCACGATCTTCATTCTTACTTGGCAGCAGGTGCCCAAATAATGCCCCAGTGCAGCTTGTGCACAGAATCAAGACCCATAGTTTGCTTCATCAAAAGCCTTTCTGGCTCGTTTCAGTTCTTCATTCATAGTTAGGAGGTCCTTAACTCTGGCAAACTTCCGGGGGTCCTTGCGTATTAGAAAGACGATGTCCTCAACCTGTACCCGACCCTGGCGCCCGATGGACATGGCCTTGTGTGTCTGTCAGAGGGGAAAAAAAAAGGCAGCAGCATTCCTTTGCCATGGTGCTTTTCTAAGGTCTCAATTCCACTTTATTCCCTGTCATTTTATAATAAAAGAGTAAGCAATTGCTGATTCTGGGCACCATCATCCTAGTCACAAGAGAACTTCCCAGTAAACCATGGACTTAGTCTAATGTCCCCAGCTGCCTGTCACTTACACCCCAAACAACCACTACAAATACATCACATAATGGTATCAAAACTAAGGACAGATTACACATAGGACACTCAGCCTGCAGAATAGCTGAAAATTAGGCACAACTTAGAAGCAGTATGAGGTAACTGTATCAGAGGCCAGTGCAGAACATTTTGGTAAGATAGGAAAGACCAACCTTTCAAAAGAAAGGGGTATGTTTGGATACTTGGAAACAGTATCTAGGTCTGGAGGAGAAATGGCCTCAGGCGCAAGAATGCATTCCTTTTGTAGGGCAGAGCTAAGTTCCTATCCATGTACAGGCACTGGGCAAACACAAAAAACTGAATTTCAAATCTGAGCCTTATCTTCTGTCAGCTGTACATACAGTGAACGCCAAAGTAAGGTGGGTATTTCCCCTCCTACATTATTAATCTAAATGCTGCTTAAAGCCTTCAGTGTTCTAAATCCACATGGAGCAAGATGCATAAATTTTACTTTAATCTTGGGAAAACAAAATTCAAGTTTATGTTTCTCATACTAATGCCATGAGTTTGGGGCCTGGGATGATGCAATATTTGAGTCAGAGGTATTAACCTTCAAAAAGGCAAAGTTCTGGTGAGGATGTTTTGACTGTGCCATCTAGAGTTGACTTACCATTTCAGTGATGAACTCTATTACCAGGTCCTCAAGAATGTCCACTGATTCTGTGTAAGGGTTCTGGTCGTCCCCAAATCCATACATCATGCACCTTACTGCACAAAGAAACACTCAGCGTGAGGCTTTCATCCATTCAGTGCTGCATGCATCTAGTTAGAGCTCACCAGCCTGCACACTCCTGCACCAGGACAGCACTCCCATCTGTCAGGCAGGACAAATCTTGAGGAAACATACAGGAAATAAACATAAGACAACAAAAGCCCTCCTGTAGGGACAGGAGCTGTACATACAGAAAATCATGTCTGAGGACAGGCTCTCTGAATTCTCACTTAGGCTGCAAAGCACTGCACAGTGACAGTGCAGCTAACTTTGGCCACAGCTATGTCTAGAGGATGCACTAGCAGTATTTTTGAGGGGGGGTCTACATGGCAGATTTCTGCAATTGCAGCCAAGGCATATTATGAAAGCCGCTGTTTTGCTAAGAAGTGAGTTTTGGGACCACATAGCTTTCAGCTCGGGGTTTCAGCTGAGTGGCCCGGCCCGACTTACGCTCTTTGGAGAACAGCCGCTTCCTCCTGCCCTGCCCGCCGTCCAGGCCCCCGCCGGCGTCCTCCGCGTCCTCTTCGAACTACAGGGGCACAGCGCAGGGGAGGCCGCGGTCAGCGCCCGTCCGGCCCCGGCCCTTCCCGCCGCCCCTCTTCCCGCGGCTGGCCGCGGATCCCCGGGAAGGGCAGCCCTCCGCCACTCACCGGCACGTCCTCCTCCTCATCCGCCATGGCCGCCCGGCGGCCCGGAACCGCTCCGGCGGCCCGGCCCCGCCCCGCGGCCCGCCGGGCGGCGCTGCCGGGCCTGCCCGGGCGGGGGGCGGCTCCGTGGGGCTGCGGGACGCGGCTGCCCCAACCTGGCCATGACACTCATAGGTGGGTGGCTAGATCAGGATAGCGGGGTTTGAAAGTGAGCTCGGGAGTGTTGCTAACCCCCCTGCTCCACAGAGGGTCAGCCACCACGTCAGGAAGGGTGGCTTTTCACAGTCGGTTTGTTCGGTTGGCAGGGGCCTCTCCTTCCCTTCAGCGAGGCACACTTGCCCATGTTCACAGAATCATAGAATGTAAAAGAGTTGGAATAATGGCCCTTAAAAATCATCTAATCCCAACCCCCCTGCCGTGGACACGGACACCTCCCACGAGACCAGCTTGCCCAAGATAAGCCCCCTCTTTCTGTTTGTCCCCATTCCCCCTTGTCCTATCACACAGTTCCTGATGGGCCCAGTCTGGCTTCTCTTTAGGCTCCCTTCACATACTGGAAGGCTGCTGTGAGGTTTCCACTTTCTGGACGGTGCCCAAAGGGCGCTTGTCTTTGTAGAGGAGCTGCTCCAGTCCTGTTGTATTTCATACAGTGGCTGCCAGCCCCTTTGCTCCAGCCCTGCCCTTGCGCACATCCACTGTTCCCCTCACTCTGGTGCCCTACGCACATTTGCTTTAATCTTGCAAGTAGGTGAATCTAGCAATGCACCTCCTCCAGATTACTCATAAAAATGCTAAAATGGACACATTCCAGAATGGATCCTTGCCGTGTTCCACTTGTAACTGCCATGCGACTGGAGTATGAGCCACCGGCTCCTATGCTCTGTGCTCGACTATTCAACCAGTTTTTACTGATCTATTAGTGCACCTGTCCAGACTGCAATGTTCTCATTTTGGACACTGTTGCAAAAATACTGCCTTTGTAGTGTCAGAGTTATGGCAACAGACAAAACCAGACCAGACCCAAGACATGGTAGAGGAAGAAAATGGACAAAGTACTGCTGAAGGACCAGGGAAGACGCACAAGATGAAATCCTTTTCCATGGAAGCTAATACTCAACATGATTTCTGTAAGTAACAGCTGTAGAAGAGGCAAAGCTTTACTAGGTAATGACAGGAGCTTTAAGTGAAGCTTATGCACTGCAAACAACTAAAGATATTTGAATTTAAAACTGAAATGAGCTCTACTGTATCAGCATACTGCCAAGCCCACCCACCATTCATTAATGAGGGGGAAAGAAAGGAAGATCTTTTGTGTCTCTGGCCTGAGAAAGTGCAGCTCCTCACTGCAACTCAGCCGGTTCCTTAAGAACCTGGCAAAAAAAACTCCAGTAGTGTGACAAGGCACCTGCATACCCAATGCCTGTTCCCACAAAGGCACTTACATAAATTTTACTGTTTAGGGGGAGGACTTGATTTTATTTATTGTTTTGTCACAGGGGCACTGTCACACTCAAGAATCAAACTGTAGTGCTCTCTCCTGCAAATGGCTGAGAGCAAAATGCAGGAGTATTTCCAGTATCTGAAGCACTTCTGAATAAAACCACAATGTGTCCAGAGGTAAAGTTAATTCTTCTGGAGACGGTGGTACCTAATGTTCCATGCACACACATCCAGCTTGTTTATACAAATGGATTAACTGGACGTATTTAATGTATTTAAGTGGTTAGTAAAAGACTTCCTAGCACTGTAATGAAATGTAAGGGGTTTTGTTCTGAAGAGGGACTAAAACCAGAACTGTATATTTTTACATATTCAGGGCTCTTTTCAGAGGCTCTTCAGTCAAGGCTGAGGTCCTGAAAATTACAGCCTTGACAAGACCGATGTTTTTGGAAGATCCTGGTTTAAAGGATCTACAAAAAGGCCTTTCCTGAAGTGTTCACTTTCACCTGTTCCATCTGTATAGCTACTACTGCATTTCTAGGATCATGCATCCCATGGGCTGGTTTGCCCTGCAGAATTTTGGGATTAGAGATAAAATATTAACAGAATTACAGGTTTAATCGCAGAAGCTAGGGAGCAACATTTACTGCATTCCTCATATTCTCCTCTTACATGTATGCTGAAAACAGATCTTGTCTCATAACTAGTGTGTTACAAGAAATTGCATAGTGAAACTGCTATTTCTAGTCCTTTTGCACTATCAGAGCGGTTTAGAAAAGAACTTTCTTTTTTGAGGTTTAAACACTTAATACAAGTAACTGACAATTGCATAACCACATTTGACCTGACAAAGATTGAGTGCCAGGGTTTGACACAGGCACTTCATAGCTTCAGACTAAGTTCTCCTGTATGAGTGCTGCTATTTATGGCTGTCCTTTTGTCCAGTTCTGCCTTGTAACTGGACAGCTTCAGGTGCTCTTAGACAGCTGCTGTGGAACAGAGTTCCCCTAAAGCATACAGTGCTGTGCTTCAGCTACCAGAGTAGAGCCACTACAGATCACGGATGGTGTGCCTCAGATCTGGCAATTCATCCAAGTGGAGCTGCAGAAATTCATGCTTGATCTCAAAACAGAAGGTAAATGCAGCACTGACTCATGACAGTGTGCAGGACAGGGCTCCTCTAGATGTCAGTCTTTTATTCCACTCTGTTTCAAGCCAACACTCATGGAAAAGCAGATCCCATAAAAGATGTGTTCTTTTCTTCATCCTTGTGGAACAGGGACAATCCAATGTCTGCAAGCAAGGCATGCCATCCTGCTGCACCTACTGAACACAGGACACAGAGGAGTTACAAAAGTAAAATATACAAGATGTCAAACAGACTTTCAGAGACAATAGGTTGGCTATTTCCACAATGCATGGCCTTAGAGCAGGTAGGCTGCACAGGAGGTAGTTTTTGGTCCTTGCTATCCTAACCCTAACCCCAACTGAGAGAAGTAAACCTCTGTGTATCATTCAGTTCAACTAGGCAATACAGTTTGCTTAATGTTAGGGCTGTAGTTTTTCTTTCCAAGATTAAATGCCTCTTTATTAGTATTACTGGACTGTATCTAGTATCCTAAATACAGAAGAGGTAAGGCATGGAGTAGTAGATTTTTTAACATTTCAGTGTAGGGAGAGGAAATGCTGTATTAAAACTTCCATTCTCTATGGAGGTTACCTACTTTTTTTCTCCTTGGCACAATCAGGTAGGTTTTATGAAACAGGTTTATAGTAACCTGGATTAATTCATACGGCAAACTTCCTGAACTGATGAACTTAATGAAGAAAAAAATTATCTTTATAAATACTAATTTATTCCAAAATACCATATAGTAACTTGGGTTATTTGCAACAAAAATCGAGACCTCTGTTTTTGGTACCTCTTGTTCCTGATGAGCCAAGCAGATCAGCAGGTCTTTTCAGCTGGCCTCTACAGTGGGCAGGTTTCCAGTAACATGGGCTACAAAACACCTGAGCAAGTGAACCCCCGAAAACTCCACAGAGCTGTAGAAAAAGAATCATAGATGTTCAGTGCCACATACTGATGTGTCTTGGAGTAATGAAGGCAAACAGCCACTGGCTGTGCTCAGTTACATGTCCCACAGTACACCCTGGGAAAACCCTGCACTTTGGCTATGTAATCCAACAATTACAGCTCTTACTGTTACCAGAACTCCAAATAAAATGGGAAAGCCTGCTACCATGCTGCACAGGAACTGCTGCTCTGCTTTGAGAAAGGTCAAAGGAAGAAGCACCTGGAAACAAACTTCACTCACTTGCAGAGAAGGGGGAAAGAAGAGAAAAGACATTTCCCCATCAGCAGCCCACTTTCTATCCTTGGCGCACAGAGGTGCTGCTTCTAGAGCAGACAGACTTGTTTTAGGTATCTTGCCCTACTGAACTCATCACCAGAAAGGCAACAGCAGCAGTAGAGAGGAGCTTTACCTGACCAGGAACAGCTGAGGAAAGCATCCTTGAGTGCTCTCCTTTACAAACTCCTGGATCTCCAGTACGTTCTTTAACAATAATCCCCTGGAAGCTCGGTCAATTTTTGTTAACACCATCTGCATGGATCCAGACAGAGAGGATTCAAAGAAGAAAGTAAGATGATTTTGCTGTTAATCTGGAATATCTCTAAGAGTCCTAAACTGTCTTACAAAGCAGTCTGAAAGCTCTGAAAAGTCATATCTAGGGGAAAAAACAGTCTAACACAGTTCACCAAAACTACGGCCTGCATAAGAAGTGCACCTTTTCCAGCTGCTCAAGCTGAGCACTGAAAAAAAAAATATTTTATAAATATATAAAAATATATTTCATGACATAAAACCTCCTCTTAGGTCCCATTTGTCTCCCTCAACACATTATAAACCTATTTTATTAACAATATAGGGTTACTGCTTAGGTAGGACAAGTTGCCTAAGCTCAGGTGGAGGGTACACACCTTTCTAGATTACCTGTACCTTATAACCAAACCAAGAATGAAGCATTACCTACCACATAAGGAATCCCAAACTCTTCCAGCATCTCTACTGCAATGTGATCTGTTTTCTGGAGTCCTACTACACCATCAACTAATAGGAAAGTTCTCTTCAAGCTGCCAGAAATACAAGCAATAGTAATTGTCACCATTATTTCATGCCTGCTCTGCTACTTCAACATTCATAAGCAAAAATAAGTAACATGGGATTTGGGGATAGGAAGAGCCAAGAAAAGCCATGCATGGAAACTGAGGGTCAGCATGGAGCAGCACCTCAATCTTTCCTGCTGTTTTGATCTGTCTGAGCATAAATGAATGACACTGCAGAAGCTTCCAGGGAAATGATGTCAGAACCAGTGCATGGAAGCAGCTACCCCTCTGCATTTTCTCCCCTCATTAAATGACACTGTATAGGGGTATAGGGGTGTCCGTCTGGCTTGCCCTGTGCTGAGGTACAGGTAGGTCCCTTACTTGTGCCGTTCCTGCAGATAGGCCTCCACCATCTCAACAAAGTCCTGCGGGGAGCGATAGCCATATCCTGGCATATCCACCAGAGTAAAGTACTTCCCTACTTTGAAGAAATTCATCTTCTTGGTGTGGCCCTGAAGAGAGGATTTAGGCAAGATGAAGCACAGAGGTGGTTTCTAAAAAAGCTGCTTTAAGCAGTACACTAGGAGGTGCTCTGCAAAATATCTTTATACCAGATCCCTGCCCCCTGAGAATGCTTTAAACTGCCCGTGCTCCTACCCGTGCAGCAATCCTACATGGCTCTAATAATAAAATGAACTAAAAATACCTTAATGGGTCGCTGAGCTTGGTTCTTCCCAAAAGTCTCTACAGCACACCTGCTCAAGTTGTGCAGCTCTGTTGTCTGCCTGAAGAGCCAGGCTGGGCTCCTACTGCATGAGGATGGCCACCAGAGCTGGCACATTCCTTCTTTTCAGGCTACTCAAGAGCCTCTTCCCTCCCACCCTCCTCAGCCCTATCCTCTGGACTGGTACCAGCTCAAGACCCAAAGGGAGGGAAGTTAAAAACATCACTCACCGGAGTTTTTGACACTCTAACTTCCACTTCCGGAGCCAGTGAAAACAAGGCCCGGATTAAAGATGATTTCCCCACATTGCTTCGGCCGATGAAACACACCTGCAGGGGAAGAGGCAGAGAGGGCACATCTACACCTCTCGCTGCAGCCAGTCCCGGTCACTTCGCAGCCACGGACATGTCAGGCTACCGAGTTGCACAATGGGGAACAACAACAACTAAACGATTTGTTAAAAAACAGCAGTAAGTAACCCACATATTGCGCAGCGCTCTGACAGAGCTGCACAACCACTCCATCACCGCTTTACCCCCGCAGCGCAGCTCAGCCCAGGTCGGGGTGGCCCGGGCGGGGGGAAGGCGCTGCCCCGGCACGGCCCTGGCCGAGGGGCGCGGAGCAGCGCTCGCCTGACCTCGGGCAGGGCCGGCGGCGGGGCATGGTCCATGCGCACGGCGGAGCTCACGTAGTCGATGGGATGCCCGCGGTCGGACCTGAAGAGCGCCTCGGAGCGCTGCAGGGCGGCCAGCCCGGGCTGGAAGAGGTGGAACGGCGCCGTGTCGGTGCCGGGCGCCAGGTACCGCACCAGCTTCTGCAGCGGGAACACGATCGCGGCGCGGCGGCTCCGCTCCAGCCGCAGCACGTAGGACAGGGCGGCCAGCGGCGGCGTGGCCCGGCCCGCAGCACCCCCCGCCCGGACCAGGAGCATCCCAGCGGCTGCAGGCGGGACCCGGGCCGCCCCGGAAGGCGGGACCGCGGGGCGGGACCGCGGGGCGGGACCGCGGGGCGGGACCGCGGGGCGGGACCGCGGGGCGGGACCGCGGGGCGGGACCGCGGGGCGGGACCGCGGGGCGGGACCGCGGGGCGGGACCGCGGGGCGGGACCGCGGGGCGGGACCGCGGGGCGGGACCGCGGGGCGGGACCGCGGGGCGGGACCGCGGGGCGGGACCGCGGGGCGGGACCGCGGCCAGCTGAGGGCTGTCAGGGCCCGGTAGAGCGTGTGCGTTCGTGTTCCGCGTTGACTCCCGAGAGCCGGCGGTGGTGCCCAGGCCCGGCTGTTTGTAGAATCACAGAATGTGCTGAGTTGGAAGGGACCCATAAGGATCATCAAGTCCAACTCCTGGCCCTGCACAGCACCATCCCCAAATCACACCATGTGCCTGAGAGTGTTGTCCAAACACTTCCTGAGATCTGTCAGGCTTGGTGCTGTGACCACTTCCCTGGGGAGCCTGTTCCAGTGTCCAGTCACCCTCTGGATGAAGAGCTTCTTCCCAATATCCAATCTAAACCTCCCCTGACCCAGCTTCAGGCCATTCCCTCAGGTCCTGTCACTGCTCACCACAGAAGAGTTCAGTGCCTGCCCCTCCTTTCACCCTCACAAAGATGAACTACAGTGATGTCTGTCTTCAGTCTCCTCCAGGCTGAACAGCCCAAGTGACCTCAGCCCCTCCTCATACGGCTCCCCTCAAGGCCCTTCTCCATCCTCATCACCCCACTTGGCTCCCTTCAAGGCCCTTCTCCATCCTCATTACCCTACTTTGGACGCTCTCTAACAGCTTTATACCCTTCTTATCTTGTGACCAGAACTATACACAATACTCCAGGTGAGGCCCCAGCTCAGAGCAGAGGGGACAATCCCCTCCCCTGCCCGGCTGTGATGCTGGGCCTGATGCCCCAGGACAGGGTTGGCCCTGCTGGCTCCAGGGCACTGCTGGCTCAGCTTCAACTTTCCATCAACCAGGACCCCCAGGTTCCTTTCTGTTATAAATGAAAATTTGTCCAGCCAAATTAATATGAAAAATAAATTATTTATTTTGCAATCAAATTTTATCTAGCCAGCCACAAGGAAAGAACAGAGCCGAGCCCGGGGTCAGCCCTGGGTGTGCAACAAGGAGTCAGCCTCATCAGAGGTTTTCCTCCATGCCCACACACTTCCATCCTGGCACAAGCGGTTTTTATAGGGAAAATTCCGCCTGAGGCCAAGATTTCAGCAATCAGTCTTCTATTCAGAGTCCATATGTTAATAAGATTTTCTTTTTTGGTGATGAGGGAGAACAAATCAGTGTCTGGAGTTTGTTGAATCCCTTGATGAAATTTACAGAATTCTGGAACGCTGTATTCACATGTATCTGCCTGAGGATTTCCATGATATCCATCTCGGGTCGTTCACGAGAACGATCAGCACCTGGGGTTTCTGTATCTCCCCAGACATGGTTCATCTCCTGGCGAGCTGTACCTTCCTACTTGTAAATCAATTTCCAATCTACACCCAGGTCTCACCTGCGCCTGTGAGGGTGGGGGGGGGATCCTAATACAAACATGTATACTCTAACAAATATTCAATATCACATATATCATATTAGAAATGGCGTGAATTATATCTACTGCACATAACACTTTCCATGGTGCTACTTTCCAGCATCTCATTCCCCAGTCTGTCCTTACATCCAGGATTGCCCCATCCAGATACAGAATCTGGCCCTTTCCCTTATTGAACTTGATACGGTTGGCGATTGCCCAGTCCTTTAATTTATCGTGGTCTCTCTGCAGGGCGTCTGCCTTTGAGCGAGTCAACAGCTCCTCCCAGTTTTGTATCATCTTTTCAGCTCCGTCTTCTTACATCTGTTCTCAGGCCAAGGCCAGCCGCACTGTGGAGCTGCTGAGGGCTCATGTGCTGATGCCCTGTTTGGCCAGGGAGTAAGACAAAGCAGCCCTGTCCTATAGCTCTATGCACCTCCCGGAAAATGCAGTTTTCCAAGTGCTCTTCTGATAAGTAAAGAAAATTTTTCAGAGAAAAAAAAACCCAAAAAAACAACAAAACATTTCTTCAAGGAGAACTATGTAGAGGTCAATTCTATTTTGAATAAGATAAACCTAAAGCAACCACAAAACTGTTGGCACTGGTGTTCACTCTATAGTAAGAAGACCCTTGAATTTTACTAGTTAATTGATATGTATCAGAGTGCTGTTTTCCCATCAAAAAATACACATAAAGCTTTTTACATTGTTCTCCTTCATGACTAAAGTTCATAGGGCTGTAAAACCACAGAAATAAATGTATGTCCTTGAAACGTTTCAGCTTCAAAACACTGCAATTTTAACACCATCAAATGAAAGTAAATGTCATCAGTATCTTTATAAAAGTAATACATGAAAATATTCTGATGTTCAACCTTACACCCAGGCCAGCCTGGACATCCTGCGGAACACTGCCTTTCCTTTGAGACGAAGACCCCTTTTTTTTTCCTTTAAACAGACCTCCGTTTAAAGGCCTGGAAGGCTGGATGGTTTAATTATTACAATGAATAGATTCAAGGCCAGGAAGAACCGTTAGAAGATAACAGAGGCTATATCTTACTTACTTTGTATTGAGCTCAGTTACAAAGCTATAGGGGGAGAACTTTGATCCCTTAAGAAAAGAGCAGACAATAACATACATGTTTCTCAGAGACAGCTTTGAATATTTTGTAGTAAGACAAACTTATGCTGAAATCCATAAGCTGCTTCTCAAATTTATGATCAGTGAAAGTGCTTAACAGTGAGAGGTTAATAGGGTAAACCTAGGGAAAAAAACCCTGTATTCTACCTCAGTCTTGTAAATTAAGTCGTCTTAAAACCTGCTTTGTTTCACAGCAAAACAGAGCTCAAATGTGTGTAGCTCAGGACAGACAACAATCACTGGCTGCTACATGCATACTTAGAAGAGTGCTCCCAAAAAAACCTACAGATGACTTTTATTTATACAGGACAGGCCTCTCTCCTGCCACTGCCTATGGCACAAATACTTATAAATGCAGGGGAAAAAAAGGCTAAACTTTCAAGAATCACTTCAGGAACACTGCTATTCCTTTTTGGGGGTACTGAAGCAGCAACTTAATTGAATTGAAACCTGTGGTGAATCTAATAACAGAAAAAAAAAAAAAAAATCATTGGTTGGAGACAGATGTGTTTATAACCACACCAGCAGGCAGATTTCCTCATTTCTATGCCAAATTGTGACACATGAAGCAGAACAAGTGCTTTCAGCTACTTTTGCCTCAGAGTCCCACACAGCTCACAGCTGCAGGCAGCAGACTTGCCTGCTTCAAAGTACCCTGCAATAGTTACCACTGCCAGGCACATGTTCTGCAGCACATTACACCCAGAACAGCTGGCCAGATGCAGGAGGGAAGGCAGCAGAGAAACAGAACCATCCATTTAACACCACATCTGCAGGTGTGACGATGAGAACAGAGATGCCCAGTACACTGGCCAGGGTCCCAGCCACTAATTAAGTCTTTTTTTAATGTGACTACATAGGTAGCAGGAAAAAATTAAGGTCGTATAGGACCTTTTGAATACTTCTAATTTTAGCAGAGAGCATTCAGTAAAACCACATCTAAAACCTGGAGACTGGAACTGTACATTTCAACAAAAGGTGTTGTTTTTGTTTTTGGTTGTTTTCTTGGACTAAACTGCAGCCTAAGTTCTCTGGGGCAGACCGTATGGAGATGGAAGATGGCAGATTACTGTGGACAGAGCCGGTAAATTACCAACATTTAAGCCTGCTTTGTATCTCCCCTGAAAGACTCTGCATTTTGTTGTGCATGTTATTGCCAAACATCAGGCATTCACACTGACATTGCCTATGGCTCATATCTCTGGTAGCAGATGTCTCTTTTCAGTTGCTGGTTATGTAGTTCAAGTGTTAGGGAATTACTACAAAAGTAATTTAGTCCACATTAAAAACTCTGACAATCATTCCTCTGGAGTTTGAAAGAGGGATCTATAACCATTGACACTGACCTAAATCCCAAACAATAGTCAAGAGCACGGAGCTGTTGTCTTGTCTGATCTTGTTGTCTTGTCTGATCTTGTCTATCCCAGCATTGTGAGACAGGCCAAACCATCATTTCTTTCAGATATCTGTTGGAGAAGAGTAGCTGTGAGACCAGCTGGAGATGGAGTTCGGGGAGAGCAGTGAGGTGCATTTGGGACAGTTGGTTCAAGTCCTGTGAACCAAACCAGCTGAGGTCTTGAGTTTCATTTCCACCAAGAGAAATGTGGACCAAATATTGTCACCAGGAACATGCTGGAAAGGACAGGGTGAACACACCAGCCTGCCTGCTTTCTTTTGTGACATTAACAGCACTACTGACTGCGTCTGAATCTGTGCTTCCCCTTAAAGTACATATTATCTTCTTTTCACTTGGAAGGTGGTTTAGGAACTAGAGTTACTGGGATATGGAGTTTTAAAGGCCAAATTATTTGTATAAAATGCTAAGAAGCTCTGCATTTTCCTCTATGCAAACTATTTGACTGGGGACAGGAAAAAGTGTCTCTAGTCCCAAGAAGGCTACAGATGTCTCAGGGGCTGGATAGTAACGAAAAAATAGTTAAAAAATTAAAATATTCATTATACACAATGGTGGAAAACATTTTTTTAAAGGTTCCATAGTAACATAATGAAAGAGACAGTCATTATTATTCATGTGGCAGCTAACACTGCTAGCCACAGCTGAAGAGTCCTTTCCACTGGTTTTACAGAACTGAAATTCTCTTTTCAATATCTGTGTTAAGTTTGATCTTTTTTTTCCTCCTGGACCCAAACTTACTACATCAGTACTAGGAAAAAACCCAATGAACATCTCTGAAAGTTAAATGTTTTGGGGTTTTTGATTGTTAAGTAAAAAGAACTTTTCAAGGTGAGTGCTGTTCCTTGCTTTGAGCAGGAGATGGAGAAGAAAGCACAGGTATAACATGGGTCCTGACAAAAACCCTTGTAGCAGCAGACACAGCAGCAGCAGCATGAAGCCAATCTTTGCAAAACTCTGCTTTCTTGGGGGCTGAACCACTAATGAACATTAGCAGCTTGCTCTGAAATGTCCAGGAGGGCAGCTAAACCCAGAATTTGTTATGTCTATTATGGGGGGTGCAGAGGGAGGCTAGGTTGCTCTGCTGGAGGTGTGATGTATATCCAGAGCCAGAAACAGCATAAAGGAAACAGGATGTCATGCAGTGGTTCATGTTGAATGTGAGCTGTGAATTCAACTAAAACAGGGTCTCTGTTATTTCTATGGTTTCCCCCCCCTCCACGCAGCCCCCCGAATGAATCCGACTAGCTCAGAGATATGGGTCTGTGAGGGGAGGAAATAGCAGGAGAGGGAAAGGTAATCAGAAGAGGCTCCTTACCCAGGGTGTTGGAACAGCTCTCTTTATTCTGTGGTGTCCATGGAGAGCGGGGCAAAAGAGAAAGAGCAGGAAGTTTCAGGGGTCTATATAGGTTTTGGACAGGGTGGGCTCTCCTGGCTCCCCGCCAACCCCGTTGGGGCAAGGAGGAGGATTCAGGGGTTATCATGATCAGAGCCACAGAGGCCCTAGGAAAGGGGGGACAAAAGGGTGTCCAGGAGCTCACTGTAACAGGTCTCAGAACACAGAAGCCTTCTGAGCTGAGATGGAAACTAACAGTGAAGGACACTTGAAACCAGCTCCAGGGCTGTGCTGGCGGTGGTTGGAGAACCACCAGGTCCAGCAGCACAGCTGCTTGGGTCCACTGCCTGGGACAGTTCACAGCAGTGGTCTTCCTGACACAATACTGCCATGCTGTCTAGCCCCAGTTTTAGTGTTGGACTGAGAGTTTGGACTTCCAAAGACAAAATCTGCCAGTCCTCCCCCTGCCAAATCACCCATGAACAATCTTTCCACTGTACACAGTCATGCACTAAGTTGCTGTGTTGTGGACAGACTCAAATCCCAAAAGGCTAATAAAAGAAATACAAACATGATTTTCCAGACATCACTTTGAATATCAGAGATGAGGCAGAATCTTTAGCAAAAACCCCCAGACCCAAAACCATAGGCCTTTCCCTGAAACAACCAGATTAGGTTGCATCCTATACTTCAGGGAATTCTCCCCATTTATCAGGAGTTTTCCTGCCTTAATTTCTAAAATGACCCTACATTCTCCAGGTGCCTGGGTCTGTTGCTCATGATTAAACCCCCAGTGATTAAAACCCTAAAATCTTCTGATTTTCATGACGTGGACCATTATTTCATGCTGCCTCTGGCAGTTAGCTCTGAACTACCTTACCTACAGACTGTGTGGTTGAAACTATGGTATGTCTCACACCACAGTGATTTACATGTGATCTTTGCGTCTTGGACCTGCCTTGAAACATGAGTAATGGTTGTTGCACTTCACTGCCAAACCACATGGCACTGCAGCAGAAGCAGAAGTGTTGACCAATGTGCAGGTTGCTATCTGAGATAAATTGACTTTTTGGAAAGTATAACTGAAGCAACAAGACATCAGAGATGAGGATTTCTGTATGTTGCTGCTGTTGTCTTTTCATAAGAAGTATAAACGGAGGTTGTCTAACTTTCTCTTTGGACTCACCCAGCTTTTTCTTGGAGTCATTTATGGATGCTATGTCTCCTCTCAGTTAAATAGCATGGACAAATTGGGTGAAGGGTGGGGTGAAGGAAGTCATGGTTGTCTGCCTGCCAGTAATCCCTTCAGTCATGGGTGTCTTGCATCTATTTGACCACAAAATGGAAGCCCTTGCAATCAAATTTCACACAGTCACATAAATACATAAATCTGCTCTGACCATAGTTGTAGGGGGACAGTTCTGTTCTTAGAACAGTCAAATAGTCATCAACTCATTTCAGCTTGATGGCTTCAGGGGAGGTGAATATTTTTCTGATAAAATTAAACTCAGTACATTAATTTCCAGGGAGGTTCATCTTATATCTAGGAAAGCTGTCTTTGCTGGTATAAGGCAGCAGTCTTAATCACACGGCCAGACGGACAGTAGTAGTTTAGGGAAAGACCTTTAGGGATCTTGCATAAATTAAGGCACTCTTCTGGCTCTACACAGAATCCCACAGCTCAGTGCTCACTCATGTGTGTATATTCTCCAGAATATATTGAGAAACAAAACAGTAAAAAAAGACTGAAAAAAAAAAAAAAGCAGCCTTGGCCTAACTGTAGATGTACTGTTACCAGAGGAAAAGAGCTGTAATACAAATGTGCATCGTCCCTAGCTACCCTCCTCCTTGCATGGGAGAAGTGATTGCCAGTACCTTTTTGAGAAAATGTCTTTGTCTATTACATATGTCGGGAAGAACAGAGAGGGCAGAATGAGGAATTTTTTTCAAGAGATTTTGCTCTTAATATGTTGAGCATCCTTTAAGTGGTTAACTAAAAATATCCTTCCCCTAATTCCTGACGATAAAATTCTTACTGTGAGTGTTGAAAATGTTATGTTATTTGGAATAGGTATTTGCTTGAAATAAACAGAGTTGTTAGGCTGCAAGCTGAGCTTTATCTTAACTATACAAATATGCTGTGTAAATCAAAGATGGATTGTAGTGCAACATGGAGATAATAATCTGAATATTCATGATAGTTACACAGGTAACTAGGAGCTTAAATATTGCTTTAATATTAATAGCAAGAGTGGCCAGCCCACAGATTGGGTGCTGGGGTGTGTCCAGAGCTGGGTAGGAGAGCTGGTGAAGGCTCTGGAGAGTAAGTCCTGTGAGGAGTGGCTGAGGCAGGTGGGGTTTTTTAGCCTGATGAAGAAAACACTCGGGGGGGGGGGGGGGGGGGGGGGGACCTTATCAGTCTCTTTAACTATGTGAAAGGAGGTTATAGCCAGGTGGGGATTGGCCTTTTCTCCCAGGCAACAAGCCACAGGACAAGAGGATGTAGCCTCAAGCTGTGTGAGGGGAGGTTCAGGTTCGACATTGCAAAGAATTTCTTCACAAAAAGGGTGATTAGACATTAAATTGGACTGTCCAGGTGGAGTCACTTTCCCTGGAGGTGTTGAAGAAACCACTGGACATGGCAGTCGGTGCCATGGTGTAGCTGACAAGGTGGTGATCAGGTGGGACTCAGTGATATTGGAGGTCTTTTCCAACCTAATTGGTTCCATGATTCTGTGCTATGAACTGTAACATATTACAACAAGGACTATGGGACCGAGACAAATCCCCACCAGCACCTAGGATGATGTGAAGATGATCATGTAGCAACCATCTGGTAATGGAGCGGAGAGTCAGTGAAGAGTGAGAAGATCCCAGCCCCTAATATTGCTGTGGGTCCAGACTGTAATGTGAGGGATGAGGAATCAGATTGTAAGGGTATAATTGCCCAGGGGTGTCTTTGTTCTTGGTCCCTCTTTTGAGGTCCCTAGCTTGAGCTGCCTGATGTCATAATTGATCTGTGCCAATAATCCTGCCAAATATAGATGAGAGCTTTGTAATTTTTGTTAACAGCAAGATCCAATCGAAACATGAAAAATCACACTGATCGGGCTTTGTGCAAGTTCCGCTGTAGACTTTGTCTTCTCACAGTAACACTGGGGACAGTAGGCTGGACAGCCACTGGGAAGAGATCAAATACCAATATCACTTTCTCTCTGCTCTCCAACTCTCACCAGAAAAAGCCTCATGCAAGGAAGAAGAACTGTCTCTTTGTAGCTGTACTGTGGGGCTCTAAGGAGCAGAGGAAGAACAGTGGCTCTGGCTTCAGGATCACTGGCAGGAATGCTGGGGAACTCACAGCAAGCTGGACAGTGCAAGAAATCCTTCTCACCCACAAAAGCAATGACTACTTTGAAAGTTGTCAGGAAGAGCATTTGCACCATTGTCCTTCTCACCATCGATACAGTCACAGGAGCTGCAGGTACTTCTGGGGGTACTTTGGCACCATCTCTCTGTTAAGGGCAGGGGAGGAAAAGGCAGGGTGTTAGTGTGATATGTATTCAACAATTATTTGGGAAAGAAAAGCCTGGTAGAAGGGATCATTACAAATTGCTGAAGGAACTTTTTGATGGAAACAAGCACAGAACAAAGGTGGGGTGAATGTTTTCACACTTTCATTCTTCTGCAGGACGGGGAAGTGATGCTGAGGGAAAAGGGACCCGAGAGATACTCTCCTCAAACATAGCTTTCAGACTGCCACTAAAACCATTACTCAGCCAAAAAAAAAAAGAGCAACTTGTGTCCCACCAGTGACACAGAGAACTGAGAGATCAGTGGTTTACTGTTCCAAAGTTTAATGGCCACCTACTAAAAGAGGAAATGAGTGAAGTGCTAAATAGAGATTTGTTTGGACTACAGCTATGGGTATTATTCCTATAAACCCGTTAATTGTGAAGTTTCATTCACAAACATTGTGAAATCAAGGGATTGCTTGCTTTTAACTTCAGCAGAAGCCAGAGGACACAAAAGTCCCATTCCCTCAGCTACTCTTCACACTGGATTATAACCTCACTCTTTCTTTCTATCTTTTTTCCTCTCAGTCTCACAAGTGCCTCACAAAAGAGGCTGCCTTTGTACATGTAGGCAACACTAATGCACGTATAAGAAAACCCTGAGACATGAGGCAAAATCCTTCCCTCCTACACAGAGCAACAGCAGTGTTATGTGCACCTGTGTAACGCCTGAGAGGTGCAGACAAGGCCTTTGCACACAGTATTGGATTTTCACATGAATGCAGAAGTAAAAGTTTATTTTGTTGGCAGCAACAGTTACAGAGAAAAGCCACTGTCATGTGGCCAGAGGCAATAGTCATATTTCTGTATTTTAGGTCCTGTGAGCAACCCACAGGAGGATTTGCTCACACAAGGAGAGTCTTTGGATGTGGAAATGCTGAAGACAATGGACAGGAGTAGAGTCCTCCTCCAGTATCCAGTCTTACCCACTAAGATGACCCTCAGTGGGAAATTGGTATTGCAAGCGTTGGCTGTGATAATCCATAGCTGATAATCCATAACCCACAGCTGTAGTAAGAGATGACAGACAATGTGCAGATGAGCACAGCCATGGCCTCACACTTGTTTGTAGCACTGCAGACATTTCCCTGTGAAGTCCAGACCACAACTCCTGGGCTCCTCCTCACGCATTCTCTTTTTTTCTCCTCAGAGAACAACTCCTCAGTGTTAGTGATGACTGTAGGTAACAGCTCAGTTCTCACCTGCCCTCTCAGAGGAAATATGACTATGCTAAAATGGACAATAAGCCCCAAGGCTGGAGGCCCTTGCACCTTGGTATACAGGGTTGATACAAACAGGACACACAGAACAAACTGCAGTGACAACATAGACTGGACATTCCAAGCAGGTCTGCCTCCTGCCCTTGAGATACGGCAAGTGGGAATCGCCCAGGAGGGAAATTACAGCTGCGAAATGGCAACAACGGAAGGGAATTTCCACAACACCTACCACCTGACCGTGCTGGGTAAGGAATGTGAAAAGGTACAGCTGGTTTTTTTAAACTAAGGAGTGTAGGGTTTGATTAGATATTCAGTATTGTGAGGGTAGTGAGGCACTGGAACACTGTCCAGAGAAGCTGTAGAAATCCCAGTGTTAAAGGCCAGGTTGGGTGAGACTTGAAGCAACCCAGTCTTGTGGAAGTTGTCCCTTTGCGTGGCAGGGTGGTTGGAACTAGAGGATCTTTAAGGTCCCTTCCAACCTAAGCCATTCTGTGATTCTTGCTGGGATAAACTCATGCCTTTCATTGGGAGTATCTCTGTGTCTCCTTTCTCCTTATTCCCCATAACTCTTCTTCCTTTTGCTGGTCCCTTTTCCCACTGTCTAGTTAGAAATGACAGATGTGAAGCAATTTCCCATGTACACACAGAGGATATGAGCTCATCACAGAGCTGTGATGAGGCTCAGCTGGATGGGGGAAGAGCTGTGCAAAAGGGAAAAAGAGAGTGGTTCTTCCTCTCTTGTGTTTTGGACCCACATTGCTGGGATGGGATGGGATGGGATGGGATGGGATGGGATGGGATGGGATGGGATGGGATGGGATGGGATGGGATGGGATGGGATGGGATGGGATGGGGTGGGATGGGTGGGGTGGGGTGGGGTGGGGTGGGGTGGGATGGGATGGGATGGCATGGGATGGGATGGGATGGGATGGGATGGGATGGGATGGGATGGGATGGGATGGGATGGGATGGGATGGGATGGGATGGGATGGGATGGGATGGGATGGGATGGGATGGGATGGGATGGGATGGGACCTCCAGCCTTATTCTCCTCTTTTCACTGGGTTCAGTTTGGGTTCATTTTGGGTGGAGAACAAGAGCAGCTCAGCCCAGCTGTGCCAGAGTAACTCCATGCATGTCCCCTTGCTGGTGCTCTGCAGCCCCCCCGAGGCTGAGCCTGTCCTGTGATGAGCAGGGCAGCCCCGTGTGCGAGGCAGCGGTGGGGAAGCCGCCGGCTCAGCTCTAGTGGCTCCCAGAGGGCAGCTCCCCTCCAGAGGAGAAGTGCCACGACAACGGGACAGTGACTGTTCTCAGCAAGTTCATGGTGTGTAGTCCCAATGTCACCAATGTGACCACCTGCATGGTGTCCCACCCAGCTGGGAACTGGAGCCAGTCCATAACCTGCTGTCCCTCAGGTGAGCTTCCCTTTGTGTGTTTGGTTTTCAGAGCCCTGTGCAGCCCTCTGTTCCTGCACCAAGCAAACATGAGTGGCACTGGCAGGATTGCAGCAGGAAATGTGCAGCTGTGTTTCCAGTAAGAAATTTGCTGTGAGGGGGAAAGATAAACACAGCTGCTGTCAGAACTGTAAAGCCCTTTGTAAAGGAGATGGATGCAGTGGATTTTCCATCCACCTCCAGGGATGGATGGAAAGGTGGGATTAATTCAAAAAGTCATGACACACAAATGTGTCAATGGTACGATCACCGAGATCTATGTATTGTAATCCAGTGGTGCCATTACTTGTTCCTAACTGTTTGGTTCCACATCGGTTGTGGCAGGAAAAGTGAAAGCCAGCTTACAGCTCCCAAAGCTGGCTGGTAGATGAAGGCTTTAGGGGGTGAAGTTGAAGATGTTACTGTCATGTTGTGGGCAGCCATAGGTAATTGACTGAAATACTCAGCTGGATGAGACTCAGAGCTGAGATTTGCTGGGATGCACATGCAAGGCCTTCAGCAGTGCTGTGGGCAGGAGTGGCTATACAGTGAAAGACAAGCTTCCTCCATCAAAGACCTGGGGGGATGTTGTTTCTTCCCAGATGTGTGTCTGGCACTGTATTCCAGCTGCCTTAGGTCATCCTCTAAAGTACAGGACACAGAGAGCACTGTCCAGGAGATGCCATCCTGGCAAAGGCACAAGGGAAAAAGGGTCTGTGAGATGTACCTAAAGAAGCATCTGTTTCTCCTTAGAGAAAAGTGGATGCTTTCATCCCTGTGTCATCAGCCTTACTGGCCTCATGAGTCTCCTCTTCTTGCTGGCTGCTTTTGAGCTCTACATCTTCTTTAATAGGTATGTATGAGACACAATACACACAAACCCCTTTGGGCAGTCCAGAGAAGCTTAGAAGGACTTCTGATGCTAATTCATGGCATACACAGTCACCTCAGTCTGTCTCAAATCCATCAGTCCTGCACATGTTCATGGAAGTTTGTCCAAGGACTGGAACAGCTCAGCTGGGGTAGACGGGAGGGAGGGGAGTCCACACCTGGCTCTTCCTGCTCCCGTAAATCATTCAGAAGAAAAAATACAAAGGGAATGGTTAGGGGTTTTCCACCTGATGGAGGGTTCTGAATAAAAATTGCCAGGCTATGAAGATTAAAGAAGCAGCAAAATACCCATCTGAGCTCAGAGCTAGACTTTTGGCCTCTTTTGTGCTAGGTAAAGAAAGCCAGGGAAGGTAGGGTCAGTATAGACAGCAGGAAGTATTACATGAGAGATGAACAGGTCTACTGCTGTTGTAACTGTCGGGGATTTCTGGCAGCTTGGCTGATTATTCTGCCTAAGCTGGACTCTGGCACAAGGTGCAGTTGCTGCCCTGAATTCCTCTGCAAACACCACAGAGGCAGAACTACTGTATTTGAGCCACACTTTAGCTCCACTCTGTGCCAGGGCTCTTGGCAGCTCTCCTTTGGGTCCTGGCTGGAGCATGGCCAGCTCTGGTCATGCTCATTGGAGACCACAGACATGAAGCCTTATGATATTGGGTTTCCCTAACAAATAAAAGGGAGGAATTCTGGTTTTACACTCCTAGAAACCAAAACTGCATTCACACAACAGCCTTGTCCTCACACTTACAGTGCTGGTGCCTTGTTTCCTAGGACAATGTCAAACCTGTGCAAACCAAGGCAGCTTCCACCTGCAGAGGTGTCTGGGCTTGAGCAGAGATGAAAGAAAGTCCTGTTAAGTGTCAGTGATGTGGCCTGCAGCAAGAACTCAGCAGTAGCAGAGCACTCAGAAGAAGGAAGCAAACATCTACAGTGCAGCCAGTGTAATTGTGCAGAAGAATAGCATGCAAGCTGGATCCTCCCCAACCCTGTCAGCTCTGTCTTCCATCCTCTCTCTAGTGCAACTACAGATGTTGTTACCACGCTTGCAAGTATCAACCTTTCTGTACAAGGTCAGATCTAACATATATGCAATTGGAAATTAACTCATGTTGTATAAAATTAGGTCATTCCATTTCAGGTGCCTTGTATTGTAGTAATTAAGTAGCATGTCTTCTAGAAAAAAAAAAGAAAAAAAAAAAAGAAAAAATGTTTGTGTGTAATAATTGAGCAGCAGCCTTCCCAGGACAACCACACAGATCTGAAGATAAATTTGAGCAACTCTTATCTTTGCTATAAAAATTTTGAAGTGTTTCACTACCAGCTACAAAAATAAAAACAAAAACAAAAACAAAAAAGGAGAGTACCTTTTTGATTTGAACAGTTATTTCTGTGCTACATGAAGCATAGAAATTATTTCAATCCTGAGAAATTATTTCAATCCTCACACTAATTTATCTCTTAGCATAATCCAGAGAGCTGCAGCCCACAGAACACAGGTCTTGAATGTTAGTGTCTTTAAACACATCTTACTGGTCCTGTCACAAGGGAACTCTTGACTTCAGTTGTTCATCTGATGACATACTGCCCTTGCTAAGCCTCTGAACCATGGAAAAATACTTTTCTAAGGCTGAGTTAGTTTGCATGACAAGTACAAGGAGGAGGAGAAGGCAGAGACCAGAGAAGTCCAAGCTGGAACACGACCTAAATCTTTGTTGTTCCTTCACTGCTTCTACCCAGGCTGGACCCCATCTCTCCTGCTTTGTGAGCGTTATTTCAGATCTGCATCAGCTACTGAAGGAACCATGGCCAAACTCCTCATCTAAACAGTTGTGATCAAAAAATCCTGCTCTTCAGTCTTAGCACAGTAACCTTTGCAGTAGTTATCCAGCTTTATACCTCAGAGGAAATGCTGTGTCACTGCACTCCCTCTCCTGTGCAGCTTTTTTACTGCTGTCCTGCTGCCTCTCACCCTTTCCTGGTGCAGCCAATAAACTGGTATAAATCCCTGCCTGAGGAGGCTTCTGCAGGACACCAGCAGGATGTAGACAATGATTTTGCGGGCACAGCACCATGAAACTGCTCCTTTCACATTTACAGACCCAGCTCCATTCTGTCCATCTGTTAACACATGGAGCTGTTTGGTCACAGCAGTCTGCATTCTGCAGAGCTGACACACAATGAGAATGCACCCAGAGATAAGAGCTAGAAGAATAAACAATTCAGAAGCTAAAAATTATATTGCTAATTCTTATGGTAACCTAACTACCTGGAGGCCAGTAAGGAGAAAACTATAGGGACTTTAGCTGGTACTTGTAGCTGTCCTGGTGTCTGAGTTTCCACAGTTCTCTGCTTGCCTACAATTCGTGTTCAGCTCCATCTCCTCTCTGCAGCAGCTGAGCAGCTCTGAGCACCTGCCCCTGAAAACCTTTGTGCTTCTCTGCTCACAGGCTCGCTCTGGGGTTGGACCATCCACAAAGCCACAGCTCTGCTTGAGATGTGTTACAGACAAAGGAACCACACAGACAGGATAACCTCCCTCCCCTCTCTTCACAGGCTCCAAGGCAGGTCACAGTTTCAGAGATACCAACAAAGATGGGACCTAGGTCAGCCACAGCCACCAGTGTCCGTGGTATTCAGGGCACGTTCTTTGTGAGCTCCACTTACTTTGTTTCTTTAGCTTTTCTCCAGATTGGCCAGGTCTCCAGCCCGAAGGAAAAATATCTCACAGCTTTTGTTACAGTTTCCATTCAAATAGGTCAGGATCTCTCTTTCCTCCATGAGAGTAAAAGAGATCAGATTCACATACCAGAGTCCACAGGGTCCTGTAACCAGCCTTACCCCTATTCTTTGTTCTATTTACTTTCAAATCCATCCCAAATCCTTCTGCAGGACGGAGCATACAACCTGAGCATTCTGGAGTCAGAGTCTCAGCACAGGCTCCTGGGTAACTCCCAGAGCAGACAAGAGAATCTCTTTCCTCTCTCTGAACACTGCCCTTCTTGCTGGTGTTCAGTACACAATGATGACAAATTTGGTTGGAGTGTGCTAGACTAGTTTCTAGACATGACTGCTGTGCAGCTGTTAATCAGCATGCAGCACACCTTGGGAGATATTTGGCATGATAGAATTTGTCTTTCCAAGCCGCTGTTATGCCTGATGGATACCTGCTTCCCTGGAGATGGCTGAACACCTGCCTGCCAATAGAAGGTAGTGAATGAATTCCTTGGTTTGCTTTTCTACACTTGCAGCTTTGTCTTACTATTAAACTGTCCTACAAATTTTCTAATTTTTACCCTTCCAATTCTCTTCTCAATCAGACCTGGGGAAGTAGTTAATGAGCAAGTGGCTGTCAGGGGAAATTGTTGTTGGCCAGGGTCAAATCACAACATCTGAAAAAAATTGCATGCATTTTTTTGTGGTACTTGTCTTTTTGTATTTTTTTTACATATACCAGTGTTAAACTATTGTTGTCCTCAAAAAATAAAAATCCCAACAAAATAAAATAAAACATAAAACCAATCCCAAACCAAAATAATGAGCCAAAACCCCCTAATACCAACTAAAGGAAAATGCTTCTGATAAATATGGCAAGAGTGATGCTCCTTGCTATTTCATCCATGGCCCAGTGGATTGACCTGTTTGGGAGCAAGGAGCTCAGGGAGGTCAGGGAAATACACACCAATTGCTTCTTAGTGTTGTTATCCCCCCTGCTGTTGGACATTTGCATTAGGAGCATGCTACTAATCAGCAGGTCGATGGAAAAATAAAGGAAGAATATTCACTGCAGGAGCTACAATATAATGATATTGGCCGGTGTTCTTCAAGAATTGGATGTCTTCCAGAAGGACAGGGCCAGTCAGGAGGTTGACTTAAGATTTCCTTGTCACAAGGTCACACTGCAAACTCACAGCAGAGAAAGTATCACAATGACCTTTCTTCATCTGCTCCTGGAAGAAATGGGGAAAAAGGAGTGAATGTCATAGGGGCTTGTTTTTGGGGCAACAAGTGGCAGGGAGCAGCTTAGAAAAATGTTCATCTGTTTTTTAGGAAACTAAGAAGCCCCAAATCTAGAGGTTTCCAGCTACATATCCATGCATGCCAGTTGCTCTTATGTGGCTTTTTGGCCTGATGTAAACTGATGATTTCTCTGTGTTTGGGAAATGAGATTTTCCTCAAAAAAAAAAAATAGGTAGGCAAAGATTCTTATTATGGAAATCTCATAACTGAAACTACTCAGAGCAATCATCAAACTACTTTTTACTGACATGTAAAGTTGAGGACAGGAGGTTATTCTGGAGCAGACTGCAGATCCAAGTGGCTGCTTGGGGCCCCTGCCCAGTGAGACACAGATCAAGTCACATGCCTTCAATAAAGACATGCCGGATTTGGGTGTCATCCAGAAAAACAAAAGCGTTTTCTGGGGAAGACAAGGAGCACATTGTAAGTGAGAGAAAATTGTGCACTCCAGAAAATTAACTGAGTTTACTTTTGTGAGGGTTTTCTGGTGTTTCATGCTGTCACTGAAGCATTCTCACTAGTAATAACATGGGCTTCAGCAGTGACTGAGTAACGAAGGTAGTGACTGGACCTGCTCTGTGCAGCAGGGAGAGCAGGCAATGTTGTGTGCCTTGACCTAAAGACTTTTGGCATGATCTCCTACAAACTTCCTATGGACAAGCTGGAAAAGTAAGGGCGAGATAAGTGCACAGTGACATCGACGTACAACTGCAGAGCTGGAAATACCCTTCTGATGTATTTTGAATTTCTGAATGCCTCAATTTGCTTCAGCCAAAAATGCCTTAATATTAAATATTCGGATTCAACATTTAGAAAGACCTTTGAGTCTTCCCTGAAGTCTACCAACAATAAGAAAATGCACACCAAAAAATCCCCACAATGAATCAAGTGCCGTTTTGCATTTTGGCTCAGTTTAAACTCTCTGACTGCCCTTAAAGATAAGTGCTGTTATTTGCCTGACACATAAGATAGAGATTAAAAAATAGATAGCATATTTTAGAACTGTTACTTGGTTTTACGTGTAATAAACACATGAGAAAGAACATTGGCAAGACTATGTAGCCTCATACGCCAAGATATGAATAACCAGATTAAAAAAATATCTAGAGGCATATCAATAAATGTATTCCCATGCAAATATAAGAGAAATAGCATTCTCAGTCCACATTTGAAGCAGGGAAAAGGTTGGAGGTTAAAAGAAGATAACTTATCCCCCACATTCACTTAATTGTTTTGTATATCATGATGCAGCAGCAAAAGATTGTACTCATGTAGCACTTGGCATTATGCTGGTGAATATAGTCCTGGGTGAATTACTCTCTATGATACAGTCATTCCTAATAATGCTCTGAAGATGTGTAGAGCCTGAGACTTGAGACAAATTAAATTACCATGTAATCTAGAATCTTGGAGTTTATTTTAACTGGATCTTTGCTTTTGTTTCTTCTTCAAACCTAGCCTTTACATCGCCCTTATTTGCAGAAATAAAAGAAACATATTGTAGTCACCCTGGTGAGTGAGTTTCCACAGGAAAACAAATGTAGCACAATGGAAGGTACTCAACTCATTTGAATCAGTTGAGCTTTGCACACACTGTCAGGACACACCTCATTAACAATTGTACTTGTACTGAACATTTCATTCAACTTTGAGCCCAAGGAACTTGGTACAGCCAGGAGCCATCACTGGGTCAAAATTTCCAAGTGCCACAGAGAAGTTGCTCTGGTCCTTCCCTGCTAGGGCCGGTCAGGCTGGGATTGAAGCAGTAACATCATCACTGCAGATGGGGGTATCCAGCCAGAGCATGAGAGAAAAGAAAGCAGTAGCATCTCTTTTAGCTGCTCCTTTCTACAAACCCAGCCACAGGTTTCGCTTCTCTTGAGGACAGCGAGGCTCAGCATCTCACCCTGGCCACAACAGGACCATAAACAGTCTTTGAAGATTTGCCCATTTGCAGATAACCCAGTCTTGAACTCTCTTGGGGGAGGACAGAGAGCGCACTTCAGACCGGGAGAACACATTACTCCAAGTTCTAGCATGGTATCTGTGTCAAGCAAGTGATAGGCTATCACCAGATCTAATAAACTGTTTCCCCTGCAGTTTCTTTTATCCTATAGACACTCAGTTTGCCTCAGCTGCAGGTCATTCCAATGAAGGCCCAGCCACACATAGTCAAAATAACTAAGTCCCTTGTTAATTCTTTCTGCATTGTCTTTCCCTGTGGTTTGTGTACACTGCCACATTCTGACTAATTACTGACTGTAAAATAATGTACATATGCTATGCAATGTTTGGGCCTTTTCTTACTGCTTCTAACTGCTTAATTTTCAAATCTTTAATAAT